GGGTCAATACTGCTATTTATAAGAGACCTTTTACTATATAATCACTCATGTCCCTTTGACCAGAAATGGGATAGCCCTTTCACATGTACAAATAATGGAATGCTTGTAGCTGATTTTTATTAATTATCGATTAGATATTTACCCTTGTATTACTGTAATCAAACCATGCAGAAGCGGCATAACACCTTTAAAATTTATTAACTGTTGAATATTTATAATTAATTTTAGCTTTTGAAAGTGATTAGGACCACAAACTTAGCAAATATTGAGGGAGGTCATGAGTGGTACTTTTATAGGGAGTGTTATACCAGTAAGTATGTTACACAAGGAGTGTCAGAATTCAGAAATTCTTGTATTTACCGAGTGAGGGTGAAGGTAATACATGGATTCTTACATGAGTTTTGTAAAACAGAATATGTACTGTGTTTATCCACGTTTATCCACGTAAAGCCAATCGCCAAGCACGGGTACTATCTTATTCCGTGTATTTTACCTTACCTTCCGCTGTCAGGGGTGCGATTGGTTAGCCTATTGGTGAAAGCGTTCGCTCGTCACGTCGAAGGCCCGGGTTCGATTCCCATCATGTGTTCAATGAGTAAACCCTATTTCTGGTGTCCCGTGCCATGATACTCCAGGAATGCTGCTAAAAGCAGTGTAAATACATATTCACCCACTTACTCACTCCTTATGCAGACGTCTATCCACTAGACCACTCAGGCAGTTGATTTCGTGTAGAAGTGGTCCCCAGCAACACATGCTTAATTTTAATTGTCTTACTAGGTGACTTCATGGATCGGAGGTTCAACGTCCTCCGACGTGCTGGATGTTTTTGCTTATAATATCAATCACTATTTTGCTCTCTGCCCATGTGGACCAACATTTTACTGCAAGAACCAGTAACAGCAAAGCTGACCATGCAGGTAATATTCCCATGATCGGATGGGGAGTCCGGCTTAGAATCGTATAATAAGAGGCAACTAACGAGCCTCGGGTAGTCAGGTTCGTTATTTGGTTGATTGCGAGACATCGTACATGTCGGCGTGGGACGTTGTTCATACTTAAACCAATCGTTTATTTACATGTATTTATATCGGGGTACATGACACACAATTAACGAAGTCACTATACAAGCATGCCCACCCGGTCCATCGATTGTGGTGCCCGTGAAGACCCGGGGTAGAATAGGTCTTTTCAGCAATCCATGCTTGCCCTAAAAGGCGACTATGCTTCTCGTAAAAGGCAACTAACGGGATCGGGTGTTCTGGCTCACTGACTTGGTTGATGCATGTCATCGTATCCCAAATGCATGGATCGATGCTCATGATGTCTATCACTGGATTGTCCGTGTTGTCTGGTCCAGACTCGATTATTTACAGACCGCCGTCATATAGCTGGAATATTGCTCAGTGCGGCGTTAAACAACCAACCAACCAACCAACCATCGATTGTCGCCTAACATGACAAGCGAAGCGGTGGGTATATTTTAAGCAATGCCCAACATAGACATACACAATGCACTGTCCATGGATCATCGTGATTTTAGGCTAGATATATAAATATATTATTTCGACTTGCTTCAATATATCTTTCCTTTATTTCAAATTGAAGCTGCCTGGTTCCTAAAACACTATGGAGTAACTATATACTCCTTTCTGTTAGGTCTGGATTACCGGTGCATGCATGCATGAGGAGTCATATCCGTCTTACCGCTTATATCTGTTAGTTATACATTTATATTTATACATTTATTATAAATTTGCACACCAAACTTCTGAGCTCGCATTACCTGCATCATGTATATGTGATAAGGTTAAGTTAAGGAGGTATTTGAGGTTACCACTAACTTGTATATGTGGGTAGAATGCCATTCTGAAACAATCGTCAATATCCAGCTTGCATACTTCTTAGCATGTTTCAAAGCTTACATTGGTCTGCATCTACAGCTTTCTGAAGTATGTATAATATAATACATCCGATACAAACCCTCTATCGTTATCTATCGTTCTGAGTGATGTATAGTTTATATCCGATATACAAACTCCCCCGCGTCTTTCATTTATAATGATGTATATAACATGTCTGACACCCCGCGTTTCATTCTGAGTAATGTATATTTTATGTCCGATGTACCTGTGTACTTTCCCGTAACTTTGTAAAGAGGAATGATAAAACACTTTCATCTTGTGTAATTTTCGCCTCAATCTTCTGGCAAACCATAATATACAATTAACCCATCGAACTAATTAAAAGAAGTGGAAAGAGCTTGTCTAAATGCAGAGGCAAGTGAAATAATTGTTTTGAAATTATATAAATATGATTTCTCACATCTACTCATGTGTGAATTACAAGGATTCCCTTCAGCACAGTTACATTAAATAAATTAATGAGGATACATGTTTTGCATTTCTATTCACATCGTGGGATTGGAGGAGAACGCACGTTAATTTGGGCCACAAACAACAGAATTACGGAAAATTGTTTACAGTTACAAACAAAACAAAATCTAAATGGAATGCATAATGTGTCGAGGCTCTTTTATTTAACGGCCACAATCCGAAATATTTCAGAAACCCCTCAAGCACCGCCTTTACTTTTTTAATATGGACGATTCCATTCCATTCTATATACTATTGTGACCACAATGTGATGTAGAAACACATCCTTGATTTCAATTATTTATCTAATTATAACATAATTTGTTAAAAGAAATATCGCACAGACACTGACATTTGTGCATAAATGTGAATTGCCGCACAGAAAGGCGTGTGAATATTTGTCAAGTACAAAATAACAAAATAATAATAATACCTGAAGATGTTTCCAATTTATAGTGAAGAATGTAATGTGCGTTATTTATTTGGAATGGGACATGGAAATATACAGAAGATCATATTCAGTACGGTCCCACCCAAAATATAAACTAAATCATATTCCGCATATATATCGCCATGTGTTTTAGAGCTAACCGAAAGCATTACCGCAGTAAATGGGGTTTTGCAAAATTGTGGACTGTTTATCCCAGTTCTGGTCGTATCCCAGTTCTGGTCGCTACAAACGTGAGCCCAGTCGTCTGAGGCGCCGCAATTCGCCGTCCAGAGTTGCGTCCCATGGGCACGCCTGAAACCTTTTGTAGTGAATGAGTATGGATTTACGCCGCTTTTAGCAATATTCCAGCAATATCACGGCGGGGGACATCAGAAATGGGCTTCACACATTGTACCCATGTCAGGAATCGAACCCGGGTCTTCGGCGTGACGAGCGAACGCTTTAACCACTTGGCTACCTGGCCGCCTGAATCCTTTTGTAAGAATTTCTAGGTCTGTCAGCACCGTACCCGTGCCAAAGTGGTAATCGTCTTGAGACCAGCACCACTTCCGGCTTTCCTTTCACATTAAGCTGACACGCTGTGATGTATCTGGAAATCTGTTCAAAGCGGTGTTAAACTCACCAATTCACTCAACTCTATATAGCAGTGATGATACCTTTAATCGAACACTTCCTGGTGAAAACCCCAACATTACGACTGAAAAAAACCCATACAAAACCAATATTGTTCAGCTAGATATGGAATACTGTAAGGGGCATTATCGCGATCTTTTGAAACGAGGTAAATTGCCCAAAATGTGAGAATGCGAGATTTGACTTGCATTCTCGTGTTTCTTTTGTTCTTAGCAGAATGCTACATTTGGAATGATGTAAAATCTCGCAATCTTGACTTGTCAAATCAGGCCACAAACACATCATTTAACACACATGCGAGAATGCTACATTTCATTTTCTCGCGTTCACCCGTTCTCGCATCCTCGTGCCTTCCACGAGCATGCGCCTTGACCTTATGATATTACGCATGCGCACTTTATAAGTCAAGTGGTCATGCTCCTTTCATGCTGTTCAATTTCCAAGTAGCATTTAGAAAAACGATTACCTAGCTTGAAAATAGGCAATTTACAGAAAAGCACGAGAACGCGAGATAGCAACATTAATCAAGTGTCACGATCTCGCATTCTCGCTTTTATTAAAATATTTACAAATAACTGTATGGACGATTGGCACAAAAGACATCGCGACATTGGTTCGTGATCTGGCGTTCTCGCGGCCTCATGCTTTTGTGTCAATCGCCTATACAGTTATAGGCATATAAATTTTTATTTTTTTTAAAACACGAGAATACGAGACACAGCTTATCATTTTGTGTAAATATGTAACTCAGCCTCCATCTGCTTGAAGGTAGTTTCAGTTTGAACAGAAACGATTCACGTTTCAAGATGATCTACAGTAAACTACGGTTATAACCAACTGAAAGGGACCACTAATTTTAGTTCGTTATAAGCATATATACAGCATATATACAACAAATGGCCGGGACTAAAAAAAAGTTCGTTATATCGGTCAGTTCGTTATAAGCGTGTTCGTTATAACCGTAGTTTTCTATACTACCTTGTGAATTAAATGGTTTTTATTTGTAAGTTGAGTGTCTGCGCTCTGCCCTTCATAATGCATGTATCAGCGGGTGCCACTTGGGGCTCTGTCGTTTAAGGCGCAGTTATCCGCTGTGCATGGATCACTCCCTGAATTAAGCGTGCCAGAAAACATACGATCTTGGATATACCAACAATTCCAGATTGTTAACTTAAATTTTGCTGTCTGTGGTAAAGGTATGTAACCTCCATCCTATAAGTATACCACATGACGTATTACTCTGTAACATCATATACTGAATTGAATAAAAACATAATTCCAGATTCGCTCTATGTGTTTCTATGTAGTTCATCATTCTCGTGTTAATAGGACGTTTACCACTTCGGTGAAACCCACGAGCACGGGTATGGTGCTGACAAAACCTAGAAACATTTTCCGGTCCCAAGGGACGCAACTCTGCAACTCCCCTCCCAGGCTCGGAGCGCTCTATCACGTTGGCCACTATGAATAACCTTCTTCAAAACAGCTTGCAATTTTCCGATAAGCTGAATACATGTTTTATATAACTGAATGACAGGAGCTTGCCTGGTACATTAATATTATTCGAGTGGTCATAAAGAAAGTGATTCACTGTGCTCTTTGCATGAATGCATTTAGATTTACGAGACATGGTCAAAGTTCACGCGTAGGAGGTGAAGACATATCCCCTTTACAACATTACGTGCACATACCAACCCTGCACTCACCGCAGTTGGCAGGAGACTCGTTAGGGTGAGTACTGTTAATTGATCTTATGTTTGACAATGTGTAACACGTGACAGTGTCTGTCAGTACGATGGTGGTAATCTTGTTAACCCATCATTTTAATTCACTTTTGTCAACAAAGTGCCTTACTGACAGATTACGTCAGTTTTTTCTATGACACACACCTCAAGCAGACTATATATAACGCCAACATATTTGAACTTCCTCATTCGTTCCATGTATGTGAATCCGCATATCCACACATGAGCACACTGCCATTTTTGCAATACAGTAAACTACGGTTATAACGAACACGGATATAACGAACTATTTTTGGGGTCCCGTCTATTTGCTGTATATATTCCGTACATTTGCTTATAACGAACTACGGTTATAACGAATTAAAATAAGTGGTCCCTTTGAGTTCGTTATAACCGTAGTTTACTGTAATTGAATCAAAACGACTTAAAGCCATGACGTTTTTTTGGACATGCATGGTAATGTTCATAGATGTTACTCAACCACGTGTTACGACACATTTGAAACGGCTCACAAGTGCAGACCTGCGGACTGTGCTCCGTGTTTATTGTGAAGGTCTTCTTGTGTGATACACTTCGTTTCACAATTAGGCTCAATTGTGTGGTTGCGTGAGTAGTGACAGAAATCTTGTCAATAAGAATTCATCTACAGGTAAGGGAAATGTCATATATGTACTTAGCGAGAATTGCTTTACAAAGTGCGCTGATTTCAACGCCACGATCTATGCTGGAAATGTACACCAGGGCCCCGTTTCACAAAACGATCTTAGCGCTAAGATGATCGAAACTCCCATACTTTAACATTGACTTACTACAATCATAGCAGTGAGATCGCTTTGTGGATCGGGGCCCTGCACGTAAAGCATTGTGTGGGGCACAGTGACAAGTTTTGTCACGCAAATATAGAAGTTATTGTATCACTCAGTATCACCTTCAAATGGTTACGGCAGTATATCTATGTGATAAGATAGGTCATGTTGACCTGAAACTACATGCAGGTGGATGGATGATAATAGTCTGATCACAATAGTAATTTGTTGGTTGTTGAGTTTGTGGGGCGTCTGCCCGGAGAGCGGAAGGTCGGTGGTTCGATCCACTGGCCGCGTCATACCGAAAGAGTGCATGTGTGTGTGGCTGTTTGTAGTATTTCGGACTAGCTCACTGAGATACCATGCCGCAGTTTAACATGAATACCCCACTCAGACACAGTATACGGACTCCGATCAGTCCTTGTTTTAGCCCTTTACTGCCGAGCGCCCGACAGGGTAACAACAAGTACCATCTTTTAACGTCTTTTGGTATGACGCGGCCGGGAATCGAACCCCGGACTTTCCGCTCTCCGGGAGGCGATCTCGGCATTAGGGGAATAAAATAAAACAAAGACTAGTCGGCTGGGAGTCAGTTTACTGTGTCTGAGTGGGGTATTCATGTTAAACTACAATGTTAGTGGGCTGGCACAATAAACCGACTTAAGTCTAGACTTGACCCAGCAAGCGCTTAGCATGTGTGCATGCACGTTGCTATATCCTGAACCGGAAGAAAAAACACAAGGCCGTTTCACCTCACCTGTTAAGAGTGTGTTTGTGATCAGTATTAGTTACTTTGAACAGCATGTCAGCTCCGCCAAAGAGGGAACGTGATATTGCAATCTCAAATTACCGCCTTGTTCATGAGTTGAACAGATAGGGTCAGGTGGAACGGGTTATTCCTGTTTGTGACTTGTTCTGTTTGTAAGTATTTGTACTCAGGCAGGAAGGATTGACACTCATGCTGTTATCAATGTATGAAAGCTCTTTAGTCTGCTCTACCCGGACGCGAGTGTATAGGCCTGTGCATTATGCAGTTGGGAAATTGCTGAGTGCAGTGTAAATTGTATTGAAATGTGCCTTTGCTCGACATGCGTAGCTTATTTTTGACAGCGGATGTCTAATCTAGGAAAATAGATAAAGTTCCTGTAGGCATCATTTGAACATGATTTTGTGGAATCCAGTATTCCAATAGGTCCGGAGTACCATAGTCCATCATTGTTGATTACCGCATCACTGTGTACAGCGAATGTTGCGCCTATTGTTTATGTAAACAAATCATCAGTCATGGATTCTGACATCGACAACGTTACTAATTTTGATTTGCAAATGTACAATAATTTCAGGGTAGTCCTAACGATCGCCTTATCGCCGCCCACACAAATCTTTCCAACAAAGTCAAACAATTTATGGACAGTACTGTGGTAAGGAACAAAGCGTTCCGCCAGAACAGCGACGAGTTCCTCGTTCAGGGGGAAGGCCGAGGTCATCGAGAATAAACTAATCCTTTTATCAGTTGTGTTGTGAGTGAGTGAGTGGGTTTGGTGTAACGTCCCTTTGAACAGTATTTCAGTTACATTAACGTGCGAACAGGGATTCCAACCCACCATCATAGGTTTCTGGCAAGCCTATGGGACGCGACTCTGCACAACTAATTACAGCGCCTTAGACGATTTCTTTAAAGCTATGCATTTTCGTTAAAGCACTGCATTATCAAGCATTTGTTAAAATTAGGATTATTTATTAAAAGGTTTATATAGTCTTATTTTTCAACAGTATATTTGATTTGCCGTTTACTGTGCCATTATTTCCAACTTGTTTTGTCCAGCTGGAGTGAGTGAATGAGTATGGTTTTACGCCGCTTTTAGCAATATTCCAGCAATATCACGACGGGGGACACCAGAAATGGGCTTCAAACATTGTACCTATGTCGGGAATCGAACTTGGGTCTTCGGCGTGACGTTGTCCAGCTATAACACAATTACCTTGAATAACTGAATTGGCATGACACTGGTATGCTCTATGAAGCTAGACTTAAAGGTGTACATCTGACGAACGAGCAAGTATGCGTCCGTTGTTTATATGTTACCGTTGACCGAGCCGTGAGCTCTGATGTACGTCTTGACTCTTCCACTTCCTCCATTGCAGGCCCGTGTACAGATTCACCAGAGGTCACGAATCTTTCAATGGTAAGTGGCCTTTAAAGAAACATTCTCATAACACAAATATTTAACGTCTTACATAACATAGTAGTCTTACCTCCCCAGGCTTCATGATAGCACAACATGATGCACTGAAGCTCAACATTGGTAAGCATCGTGAGTATATCGGTTTAATGCAACTTTGAATTATTATGTCAGTCATATCGGGGCCTGACAGTTTTATGTTAGCTGGAGTGGGCTTGGAGTGGGCTTGGGGTGGGCTTGGAGTGGGCTTGGAGCGGGCTTGGGGTGGGCTTGGGGTGGGCTTGGAGCGGGCTTGGGGTGGGCTTGGAGTGGGCTTGGGGTGGGCTTGGAGTGGGCTTGGAGTGGGCTTGGGGTGGGCTTGGGGTGGGCTTGGAGCGGGCTTGGGGTGGGGTTGGGCTGGCATGTGTGGAAGCCAGGGGTGGTGCAGGAATTAGACGTTTAGCAGCATTACTTAGGTGAATCCCACGAGCACCGGCAAGGCGCTGATAAGAAACATTATCGCGGAGAATCTGGGATTCAAACCCAGTATCTATGCAGCTATATGAGCATTGAAATCGTCATGATCAGAACATCAAACTATTTTATATGGGTGATACACTGTTAAATATATTGGACTAATGTTATTTATGCCGTTGCGTTATCATGATGTTCCTTGATTAGACTGGAGCGATGGATACAATGCGTGAAGCCCATTTCTTGTGTCCCCCGCCATGATATTGTTAGAATATTAAAACCACACTAACTCATTTTGGAGTTATACTAGCTGTATGGTTACATGTAACAGAGTGCCATCTGAGAAGGGCTTCAGCAATTCGCCGAGCCTATAACTTCCTCTTCCTCCAGAAACAGTAAGGCTTCTACAATAACAGTTTCTCAGCTATGGTATTCATACTTCATCACATTTGCATGATTAACATGGCATATCAGTCGTATCATTCACATGCTAAAAAAATAACAACTTCGACCGATATTTCATTATCAGTAAAACATGACAACTTCGACCGATTTATCATTATCAATAAAACATAACTTCGATCAATTTATCATTATCAGTGAAACATACAACTTCGACCGATTTATCATTATCAATAAAACATACAACTTCGACCGATTTATCATTTTCAATGAAGCATAACAACGTCGACCGATTTATCATTGTCAGTAAAACATAACAACTTCGATAGATTTATCAGTATCAATGAAACATAACTTCAATCGATTTATCATTATCAATAAAACATAACAACTTCGATCAATTTAGCATTATCAATGAAGCATAACAACGTCGACCGATTTATCATATCAGTAAAATATAACAACTTCGATCGATTTATCATTGTCATTAAAACATAACAACTTCGATCGATTAATCATTATCAATAAAACATAACAACTTCGACCGATTTATCATTATCAGTAAAACATAACAAGTTCGATCGATTTATCATTATCAAAAAAACATAACAACTTCGATCAATTTATCATAATTAATGAAACATAACAACTTCAATCGTTTGATCGAAGCCAGAGAATACCAAGTTTCGTTTGTCACATAAAACCGAATCCATTGGGTGTAGAAGGCAAAATAGCGGTGAAAATTGTATTCATGGATCACTGAAAATCAATGACGACACCAGGTGTTGCTGAAAAGAGTAAACATGTCATTATAACACGCCTATTTCACATGTATATCGCATACATTTGCCAATGTTTATTATTGATCTCTTGACACACCGGTCTGTTTGACGTACGTTATGAAATGAATATTTGTCAACCATTCAACCATGGTTCGAAACGAAGGATGGTGTGGCTACCTTTTATTCCATGTGTTTTTCTTTCAAAGCTTAAGAACATTCCTTTGTTTGCTATAACCGTAAGTTGTCTTCAGTCCTGATGGTGCAAACCTTTTTTCAGGTTTTTTGTTGTTGTATCCATCTAATCTATTATATAATACAACAAGCTATACCTTTTGTACGTCTGAAACTACATACATGTAGCTATGTTGTATGACAGAAAACACCACACATTTTCTATCTCATTTCATCACGCTTGGAATATGTGTAAATATTCCTGTCATTTGTTATTGAAGCAGTTCCAATATGGTCATGTTTCACATTAATTTCGACCCATGAAGATCCGGGTTAGAATAGGTCTTCAGCAACCATGCTTGCCGTAAAAAGGCAACTATACTTGTCGTAAGAGGCGACTAATGGGATCGGGTTATCAGTGCCGCTGACTCGGTTGATGCATGTTATTGTATCCCGATAGCGTGGAGATCGATGCTCATGATGTAAATTACTTGATTGTCTGGCCCAGAATGGATTATTTCCAAACAGTCGTCATGTAGCATTGCCGAGTGTGTCGATAAACAACAAACAAACAAACCTGTATGAAACTAATTGCATGCAATATCTATATTCCTTTAATAACAATAGGAATACACGGAAATAACATTATGCATTTTATGGCAACCCTAATATTTGGCATAGAAAGACGTTGTTGCACATGCCCAATAGTTTTCAATAGGTGATGCCAATTCCCAATCACTCCTCAACACGAAGGATTAAATAAACATGAACTAGTTCATTCATTGTAGGAATCGGTTATCGTCTTTTGACTTTGTAAGTTATCAACAAGGATCAACTTTGCAACCCAGAATACAGTGGTCATAACTTTCTTCACTGATCTGACTTGAATTTCTTTGGTGCCGGAGAAATAGAATGGTGCAATTCCATGGGTTGACGTTCTGACCCGGAGTCATTGTTGTAGACCCATGTTTCATCACCAGTTACTATTCTTTGTTGTTATTCGTGGGTTTAAATCACAGGTTGCCATGATTATATATGACCCTTGGTTTGAAGCAACACTCGGTTATCGTGAGTAACGTGGACAATCTTCACCACTTCAGGCTTTCCGCCAGATTTGAAGCGGTCATGTTGTGTTATCACTGTTAAAAACGGCATTACACACAAATACAAGCAACAAAAACATTTTCATAATCGTGAGAAAAACCCACTTAAAGATTCCATTGCATGATTACCGCTATAGCATAAACATGGTATTACACACACACACACACACACACACACACACACACACACAAACACACACACACATACACACACACACACACACACAGAGTTCGATGTGCTAGCACAATTTCTGAGCAACATGACATTTTTAAGGATGTGTCAAAGATAAATGGTGTTTATTACTTTTAATTTTCAGGATTTGAAAGGAAGGTGGCTATGGTTCATGTTGACTTTGGTGAAAGTGATAAGTAAGTATATTATCTTTTTTTCTGAGTGCGTTATTGCTAAGACACAAGAATCTCGCTCGAGGTTCTTATAATAATATTTTTAACATTGATCTGGTTACATCGTAGCTGCCATCGTGAAGACGTCTTCATTGCTATCAAACATTTATGTCCATGTTCCCAAATAGCATTTGAAACGCATGAATCTTTAGAGAAAACTTAAGCAAACATGCGTTGTGACTTCATTAACTATTTTGATATTAAATGTTTTAAGTACCTCTAACCGTTTCAGTATGTTGCTTCACTGTATTCCAGTCATCCGAGGTTCCGCAATATGCTGAGCAGAATTGCGTCCCTTGGGCGTGTAAGGAAATTATGATTTTGGGTTCGAATCCCTGTACGCGCGGATTATGTTTCTAGGCTTGTCAGAACCATACTCGTGCTCGTAGGTTTTTATTGATATTTAATGACATCGCATACAAATAATTGATTCTTTAAGATGAAATACGGGAAAGATACTTATCACATATACGACTTATCTCCACCAATATGGTAAACGCATAAGACATGCGCCCAATTCTACACTCACTCACTCATTGTGTACCTCTTCATGACAGATGATAAGCCCACATTATGATAGTCCCATATTATATGTTACGGCTAATGTTAATGCAGCTTTAGTGCCACGTTTTCCGAGTTGTTTTATTTGAAAAATGACATGTTTTACTATAACATTGCCAGGTTCTCAACAACTCTGCCCACACCACTGTCTACAATGTGACCTGAACATGAGATGCTTGAAATGCGTTGATGGATATTACGGAGAGCTTTGCAACATGCCGTGCGATCCAGTGTGTAGAAACGGGAAATGCAGAATCGATGGTTCTTGTCATGATATAATTGAAAGAGGTTTGTATACATTACATTAAAATGTTCTATTTCTTTAGTGCCAGCTGGATGATAGCATGCACCGGTAAGTGACCGACCATGCCGTAACAAATAGTTCAGCTGTCGCCATTGTATGCTTATCTCAATAATCTACTCCTTTATACTCGCAAATAATGGGCTCATTCAGAAGTATATAGTCAATCATTGTACATTTTCACACATTAACCATGCTTCCGAAATTGTTTTAGCATGTGTTTGATCACTAACTGCCATCGTCTTTCAATGTTGACCCCCATGTAGTTTGAATGTTTAGTTCCTCAGTTTCATCATACAAATAACACATGGAACATGTATGAAATATTGCTACAAGCAGCATTAAACCCATCTCGCCTGTTATCCACTATTCTAATCAGTTACCTCCCCCTTCACGCGCAGCGGCAGCCCTATCTCAAGGGTACATACAAGTAAGTCACTGTGTCCGGCGATGTTTTAGGTCATTTCCAAGGTGGTCCTATCTCAAGGGTCCATACAAGTAAGTCACTGTGTCCGGCGATGTTTTAGGTCATTTCCAAGGTGGCCCTATCTCAATGGTACATACAAGTAAGTCACTGTGTCCGGCGATGTTTTATGTTATTTCCAAGGTGGTCCTATCTCAAGGGTACATACAAGTAAGTCACTGTGTCCGGCGATGTTTTAGGTCATTTCCAAGGTGGTCCTATCTCAAGGGTACATACAAGTAAGTCACTGTGTCCGGCGATGTTTTAGGTCATTTCCAAGGTGGCCCTATCTCAAGGGTACATACAAGTAAGTCACTGTGTCCGGCGATGTTTTAGGTCATTTCCAAGGTGGCCCTATCTCAATGGTACATACAAGTAAGTCACTGTGTCCGGCGATGTTTTAGGTCATTTCCAAGGTGGTCCTATCTCAAGGGTACATACAAGTAAGTCACTGTATCCGGCGATGTTTTAGGTCATTTCCTAGGTGGTCCTATCTCAAGGGTATATACAAGTAAGTCACTGTGTCCGGCGAAGTTTTAGGTCATTTCCAAGGTGGTCCTATCTCAAGGGTACATACAAGTAAGTCACTGTGTCCGGCGATGTTTTAGGTCATTTCCAAGGTGGTCCTATCTCAAGGGTATATACAAGTAAGTCACTGTGTCCGGTGATGTTTTAGGTCATTTCCAAGGTGGCCCTATCTCAATGGTACATACAAGTAAGTCACTGTGTCCGGCGTTGTTTGAGGTCATTTCCAAGGTGGCCCTATCTCAAGGGTACATACAAGTAAGTCACTGTGTCCGGCGATGTTTTAGGTCATTTCCAAGGTGGCCCTATCTCAATGGTACATACAAGTAAGTCACTGTGTCCGGCGAAGTTTTAGGTCATTTCCAAGGTGGCCCTATCTCAAGGGTACATACAAGTAAGTCACTGTGTCCGGCGATGTTTTATGTTATTTCCAAGGTGGTCCTATCTCAAGGGTACATACAAGTAAGTCACTGTGTCCGGCGATGTTTTAGGTCATTTCCAAGGTGGTCCTATCTCAAGGGTACATACAAGTAAGTCACTGTGTCCGGCGATGTTTTAGGTCATTTCCAAGGTGGCCCTATCTCAATGGTACATACAAGTAAGTCACTGTGTCCGGCGATGTTTTAGGTCATTTCCAAGGTGGTCCTATCTCAAGGGTACATACAAGTAAGTCACTGTGTCCGGCGATGTTTTAGGTCATTTCCAAGGTGGTCCTATCTCAAGGGTACATACAAGTAAGTCACTGTGTCCGGCGTTGTTTTAGGTCATTTCCAAGGTGGCCCTATCTCAAGGGTACATACAAGTAAGTCACTGTGTCCGGCGATGTTTTAGGTCATTTCCAAGGTGGTCCTATCTCAAGGGTACATACAAGTAAGTCACTGTGTCCGGCGATGTTTTAGGTCATTTCCAAGGTGGTCCTATCTCAAGGGTACATACAAGTAAATCACTGTGTCCGGCGATGTTTTAGGTCATTTCCAAGGTGGTCCTATCTCAAGGGTACATACAAGTAAATCACTGTGTCCGGCGATGTTTTAGGTCATTTCCAAGGTGTACTACACACCTTCCTCCGGGCTACATCATTTCTTGACAATGTCTTGAAGTCACAATTAACTTCCGTTTCCATCTAAACAATGTCCCAAGTGATCAGTGACTGCAACCATGCTTCTTAATTCGATGCTAGGGGGAAGGTCACGTACATAATCCGATGTAAACATTTCGGTGTGCATTATGCTTCACGTTTTGTTTGTGTCAAATAACATTTAACACATTAACATATTATTATAATCACATTGCATCATATCTTATAAAGAAGACGGATATTACCGACACTAAATAAACTAAAAGTAAGAGCCACTGGCCTTTCACATTAAGCTGACACTCGTCATAACATTTAATGTCATATAATTTCCGTTATAAGACAATACAAGCGTAAATAGAAAAGATATGTATATCCACCATCTGTTGTAGATCAGATCATGGTTAGGCACAGAACTGTGATAACGTTAGCTATTATGTATGGAATACTGTAAGTGACATTCTCGCGATCCCGCATTCTCGCGATCTCGACTTTTGAAATATGCCCAAACACGAGAATGCGAGATCTCGGGGAAATGAAATGCCGCATTCTCGCGATTTTGTGCTTTTGTTGCCTATTTTGACAACCGAAGACGAAATTGCTTGAATGCGATAATTTGCATCATGTCAAAAGTCGCTTTCTCGCGTTGACAACTTTTGACAAAAAGTGCTATGTAGCAAAAACACGACAGTGCGAGATCACGAGAACGCGAGATTTTGGCGATTTGCGCGATCTCGCATTCTCTTGTTTTGAACATATTTAGCTCGTTTCCAAAAGTCGAGATCGCGAGAATACGAGATCGCGAGAATGTCCCTTACAGCATTCCATAATTATGACTTTCGCAGATTATGCCTGGACGTATGAAGAATGCAACTGTCTGCAAGTACTAGTCAATTATAAGAAATATTTTAGTTTTTGATGTCTACCTCGGACAATGACGTCATATTTATTGAGTCACAATACCTTTCGATGGTTTTAACGTCCGTCATAATAGTCGTGTCTGGAATAATTTGTGGAAGACTGACAGCAGAGACACCCCCTAATGTTTGCTTGCAGAGTAACCGTGCTACACATATGTAAATAAAAGGACAAAAGCCTTTCCATATCCAATAGTAATCTCGATTGTACGATTCCGACTATATCATGAGCATGAGTTTGTGAATCAACATCAAGTAGTCATGATGCCAGGTGATCGCGAAAAGATGAGCGTATCCTGCAACACCGGTGGCACCCGTCACTTACACACGTAAAGGCAAGTCAATTGTTCACCTAAAAAAAACACCGGAACAAATGGTACAAGTCAAAATAGGGATTTGCAATAAAACATTTTAAAAGCTTCACAGAGGCAGTATATGTTGTAACGTTGATCAACAACTTCTGAGCATACGTCGTATGACGCTTTTCGAAATCTTGGCACAAACAGTATGCTCGATTGTATCTCAACATTTGCGAAAGGTAAACACCAAACGTTGGAGCTGCTGGAATATTGCTCGACATGAAGGGAAAATTGACAATCGGAAAGTTGAATTCATCCCTCTTTTCATACTGTCTTGTCACTCTTTATGTATAAATCTAAGTATGAAACAGATGAGGCGGTGCCACTGGTCTCCTTTATTTCTAGTTCCGATGGGCAAATCAGTGGAAGGGAATTGTCTATTTGATTGTTATTGGACTATATCAGATCCTCTATATTCCTGAAGCTTAAGTTAAACTTCTTGGCCAAGTTACTGTGTTTGGACTTTGCCAATCCGAGCAGAAATTCCTATTCATATGCATAAAGAAACTGATCCACAAGAAGGGGAGCACAATTGGTGCCCATGGGGATGCCTATTTCCTGCCTTAATGCCTTACCTCAACTTTTACGTAGATGTTATCAATGAGGAAGTCCAGCATTTCACATTTTGTTTTTCTGAGCAAACTCTCTTGAATTCTCACATAGTACAAAAACTGCCCGGAGAAAGAAAGTACATGCAAACATTTGAACATTTGATTTGACGCACAAACATCAGAACGTCACAAGACTGAAAACAGTCGCAGAAACTCTGCAAATCTAAGGTCTAAAACACTACTATGGTACCCATATGAACTATATCACCATCGAATAACCATTTCCTGTTTGTTTCCTATATTCTTCCCCCACCTGCGTGGATATTTTGTGATATTCCAAATGTATATTCTTTCTAAACAGGATGACATATTAATAATCATAGTTTTCTTCAGCTGTTTGGAAGCTCAGACGTATGCGAAGAAACACTGGAGTGAACTGCCACGACGCGGGGTGCACATGTTGTAAGCCGAACTACAGGGGATCAAACTGCCAGGTGCACTGCCCCAACTGTAGGACGTGGTACAAGTCAGGAGTGTGCAACAGGTACTGCGAAGCTGGTTTCTATGGTGATACTTGTGAAGAGAACTGTCCAGGAAACTGTGCACCGGGTAACGCGGGCAAACCTTTGTGTAAACAAGACACGGGTGAATGCTCCAACAACTGCAAACCAGGTTCTTGGGGGGGAATTTGCAACAAAACCTGTCCCACAGGCTGTAAGGAGAAGATTTGCCTTCCCAGAAGCGGCTCTTGTGTCGATTGCAGTGGTAAATACTATGGCTCCACGTGTAAACAGAAGTGTCATGGCTGTAACGAAAGTTGTCACAAAAATGGGACATGCGTGCAAGGATGTGCAGATGGTTATCATGGTACACTGTGTGATCGCAGATGTGGAACTGATTGTAAAGACGACAAGTGCCGTCTGTATACAACAACCAAACAGGGGATATGTTCGACCGAATGTCAGTACGTGCCAGCGTCAGTTGACGTCACCGAAGACTGTGTAGCTGTTACATCGCCAGTCCCAAATACTTCCAATGATGGTGAGTATATTAAGTTAATCTTCAGTTTGGTATTTACAACAGTGACACATGTAGCAAGACGTACAGTCAAGCAAAATATTAAAAGATCATTGATGTGAGCATCTCGTGAGCATCCGATAAACAGGGGACTGCAGTTGAGTTCTTGATCTATGCGTGTTCATCAATATTTGAAGTGTAACCGACGAGCAAACGTTCCATCACTGCTTTTTAACTGCACGGATTATGCAGATCAATTGTCAGGATTTGACTATTATTGAATTAGTTTAGCAGTAACAATGCCCTTTGGGTGTATAGATAAATACATGCAAATATGTGACATGGACCTCCGTTTTCTAAGTGTGTACGACTCCCTATTTTTGTGTGCACAGGATCGATTGTAGTTAAAGTTGGGGTACCAGTCATCGTTATCCTCGTCGTCGTCATCATCATCATCGCCGCCGTGGTGATAATATTGTAAGTACTGTTTTGTCATCATGGATGTACACGTAATTGTATTATAAGTTAAATATAGAGGTAAAATTCACCAGTTTACAGTGGCACAAATACAATGAATTTCACAAATTAACCACATAACACGAATTGCGCTCCTACCATTTGAGAGACGTATTAATTATTTTATAATGTGTGGTAATTCTGGCTCAACTTGGTAGTTTGTCACACTGTATTTAATGTATATTGTATCTTCAGGTAAGAGTCATACTTAGTATATTAATTTTGGTTGATCACGTAAGTAATTAATTGGTGATGTGTTTTGGGAAGCATGACGTCTATCTCTCCGTTGTATATTTAACCTGCATAGAGTGCGGGAAACGCTAGGTCTCCGGGGATCCGCACCTGACCTGTTACGGTAGCGTAGCGTCACTCTCTGTTAACTGGAGACGAGATGTCGACATGTACAGGCGGATATGTAGGCGTTGTTTGACAAGCACCTGTTCACAAATTATAGAGGAACTTGAAGCAATTTAGCAACAACGCATCCTGGCCCTGAAGCATCCACTTCCCAAAAGGAAAGAAGGCTACGGGGCCTACTGGTAAGGATGCCATAGAAGAAATCATGTCCATGAATGTATTGTGGTGCAATACGGTGGGGGTCGGTAGACCTCTGACCCTCGGTTCCAGGAAAGATATGGACACCGTGCCATTCGTCTAGGGGTGCTGCACAGCCGGGTCGGTAGAAGATATTTATTATGGATACCACTGTATTACGGGATCCGTACAACGGTCCCTTGAAGATTTGGACATCACGGGATTGAGCTTGGCCGGCGGTCACCTCAGGACCATGGATTACACCAGCCAAGCCATCATCCGGATGACAATGATAATAGATCGGATTATGAATCAGTCCTCGGGAATGAAAGAAGGTTAGAATTTGTGTCATTCCTGTGCTGGGTTGATTGAACATATTTATCATAAAAAAATATCATGCCCGGTTTGAAACCCCGTTTGAGCTGCTTAAAGGGTTCATCCGTAGCACAGCCCCGATCATCAGGTGTGTGCATATACATCTAGTCAGGTTTCGTGGATAAAAAGACAACTTCCTATCAGCAGAAATCAATTTCAGCAGAACACGAATTTTGTTGTTGCAACTGGGGTTCCTGGTTCACCCAGCTACTTTTTAAGAGCCTTGGCAGACTCGATCAGCTGCAGAATGGAGGTTAACATGTTGGCAGAAAATCTTTCCAGAAGGACATGATTGAGGCAACGGAATTCTCCCTCCATTCGGTAGTGTTAAAGTGGATAACATCGATTTGGGGCACCCTATATCTGGATTTCTTTGCCACTTGCCCAAGCAACAAACTCCCAGTTTTCGTCAGTTCACTTAGAGCCCTTCAAGTGGACCCATTATCCATGACCTGGAAACGGCGGTTTGCCTAAGCGCTATTTTTCCATGGTCACTTCCAGATAGAGTCTTTAGGAATTTGGATGACACGTTTTGCGGCATCATCCTTTTTGACCAAGCAGTCTGTGGTTTTCCAAGCTGTTCCCGCTACGCATGGAAGAACAACTCAAACTGCCAGAGTGCTATGATGTTCTATAACAGCCCATATTAGACACTACTGTGGCAGCCTCACGGATAGGATGCAGGCTTCCAGCTTATGCATGCATATCTACATCAGAAGCTATGGCGAGATCTTGGAGACCTTTTTCATCCGCCATTTCAGACAAGAAATGGGATCAGCAAGTGGCAGAGAAGAGGAAGTGAGTGAGTGAGTATGGTTTTACACTGCTTTTAGCAATATTCCAGCAATATCACGGCGAGGGGCACCAGAAATGAGAAGAGGAAGACTTGGAAATGACAATGTAACTATACATATCGAATTCTTTTGCAGGACAATAAGGTTTGTCATAGTACTATGCAGAGATGTGTATGTCATGCTGTTTTTTACAAACGAGTGTATTCTTGTATTTTCCGAGCGACTGCGGGAGCAAGGGTAATAAATGAATTGTATACGAGTTTTGTAAAATCAATATGACACTCGTGCGTGTGTCATAATTTATTTATTACCCATTATTTCTTAGGGGGCACCAGTGGCCCAGGTGTATGAGGCGCCACAAATCGTGTCCCTTGGGCACGCCAGAAAACTATTCTTGTGGATTCGAATACCGGTATTAGGTTTGACAGCACTATATTCGTGCTCGTGGGTTTCACCAAATAGCTAAATGTCAAAGAACTGCAATACATATTTTCCTCCCACAAGTTCTTGCCCACACATTCTGGGAGAGATTTGATACATATAAAACTCCAATGAAGTTTAGAAAGGTCTAGTGCATTTATCTCCCATATTCTAGCAGCTGAAGACATATACAAAAGTAGGAATATATATATATATATGACGAAAAGAAACCCATGCTAATGGTTCATATGGTTCCTCGATCAACACAGACAATACCACAGACAAATTATAGTTCAGAAATTCAACCATATGTACTCAACAACAAACGTTCCGGTGACACCAATATTTTGTTGTATTTTTCAAACAAGTAAAGTTTGGTTTTCAATATTGTAGTACATGTATGGAATCAAGGCACAAAAACGCAACTGCTACAGAAAAGCATGCATTCCATGCAAAGGTTGACTTTTATGGAAGCCCCATGCATTTCACTACCAAAGAATGGGTATGAAAGCATGTGCGTTAACGGGATTCCATATGCATTGTTTAGCATCGTGCTGACAACAACCACTCAGAAAAACAACAATATTACGCAATTATTCAACCTTACGAAATGCCACGCCTGTCCGAAATGAGCGTATGCTTGAAGCAGGATCGAACCAACGTGATGTTGCAAGACAATTTAACGTCCACAGAAACACCATTTGGTGTTTGTGGCAACGTTGGCAACAGACGAATGCAGTCAGAGACCATCCTCGGAGTGGCAGGCCACGCGTAACCAATAATCGACAAGACAACTGGATTCGAACAACACACCTACGAAATCGATTCCAGCCAGCAACAGTGACTGCAAGAAGCATCCCTGGCCTTCGACGATCTTCACAAATTGTACGTCGCCGCCTCAGATGTGCAGGGATTATCGCCAGAAGACCCGGCAGACGTCTCATTTTGACAGGAAACCACCGTCAAGCACGTCTACAATGGTGCAGACAGCGTCTACGCTGAACAGCCATGCAGTGGGGACAAGTTCTATTCACTGACGAGTCTCGTTTTCACCTCAGCCACAGCGATGGACGGATTCGAGTGTACCGACGTCGAGGTGAACGTTACGTCAATCATTGTGTCATGGAAGAAGATCGGGTCGGGGGCGGCATCGTTATGGTATGGGGTGCGATTCCAGCAAGACCCGTTTGATAGTGGTAGAGGGAAATCTCAATGGACAGCGCTACCGCGACGAGATCATCGGTCCTATTGTTCTACCGTTTTTGCGTCGTCATGGCCCAGGCATTACCTTCAACATGACAACGCCCGGCCACATATTGCTCGACTTGTTCAGGATTCTCTTCAACAAACAACGTGAATGTCATCCCCTGGCCGGCTCGCTCCCCTGATCTCTCACCAATCGAGCACATGTGGGTAGAGATGGATCGGCGCCTTCGACGTCAACCACGTGTTCCACAGACACTCCAGTAACTTCGAAACATGCTACAGCAAATATGGACAGATATCCCACAGGACTTTGTGCGACGCCTGGTCCATTCCATGAGACGAAGATGTGTTGCTTGCATCGCAACCAGAGGTGGACACACACACTATTGATTTGTAAATTTACATTTTGGCATGTTCATGTTTTTGTATGCATTCACGCATTTTCTGAAGTCAGTATGGCAAATTAAACCATTTGAACACTTACAGGAATCTTTTATCTGTTGCAAACCGAAATTGTTTCAGATTTGGTAAAAAACATAACTTTGCATTAAATCTTATTCAATGTCACAGGAACTTTTGTTGTTCAGTATATCTTCTGGTAAAAAGGATCTCATCTCAGTAAGTACTGGGTGGATTCAGGGTGTGACAGTTTGATGTATGGAGACAATTCGTAGAAATGTTTGAAGTATTTCATCATGCAGATTCAGAAGAGAAGGATTTTGAAGACATCTACCCCAAAATGTAAATGCACTGTGGCAATTTTGAATCCGATATGGCTGCCAAACCATGTGCATTAAATGTCAAGCACCCAACTTAGCAGACACATGTAAAGTGTCACAGTAATTGGACCAGTGGTTGCGAAAATTACTTTATTTAATTATCTGCAATTAATCATTATGCTTATAGCCTTGGCATTAATTTGTATCTGGAACTCAACTGTCATACGCATACAAAAACAGAATCTGGAAACTGGTTATTTTGCTATCGCTGGAACCATCAGTGAAATAATAAAATAATAATTTATATAATTTATAATACATATATAATACATATAGGAGGAACACCACTGCGAGACTACCGCCTGAACCGTCTCTAAGGGATTTGGAACCAGCCTTTTGATCATTATTGTCTGCTGGGAGTAGGGAAGATCAGAGGTTAACGACTAGTATTATAAGATCTGCAATTGATATACGACTCACCGGAAGTGATGAAATAACCGTAGCGGAAACATACCGGAAGTATAATCTTCAGAACAGGAAGGCAAACGAAATGGCATTGTAGGAACCGGAAGTGAGGTCACAGGTGTGCGAATATACCGGTAGTTCAGTTTATTTCCATGGATTGTGCACATTCCTAACGTCTTCTGATTAACACCATGTAAGGTGAAAACCATATAAGGTGTTTGCAGACTAGGTCACTTTCTGTTATCCAAAGATGACTAGATGTCAGAGCCCGCCAGTCCCTCTTGTGTATTCTGGCAGTTATGAAATGTAGGTAAGTTAATAATTCTAAGAACACTACCTCTGATTACTTAGGCGTTATATCACTCAACCTCTTTAATTATCTGCATCTTGGTAGAAATACTCAGATTTTGTGCTAGAGCACTGGGCAATGGAAGAGTATTATTCAAATGACTGAGTGTAAATAAGCGGACAGTGAAGACGACTTTTGTTGACAGAAAAAATACAGAACTATTGGCAATAGTGTAATAGAAGTAGTATTCTTAGCATGATTAACAATGATAACTAGTGTATATTTATTGATCTATTGACCAAGGTATTCCTGCATTCAACCTGTGGGTAGTGTTCAATGTACTTATATGTATAACCTAATATTGTCAGTCGCGTTGGTTTACTTCAAGTGTGATGAATGCAGAAATTAAACGTGTCTTGGTAGGCATTTCTGACGAGATTGTTCAAGTTACTATATTGAATGGAATTAGATTCTATGGAACCTTGGCGCTGTCATTACCCTCACTTAAAAAATACAAATAAGCCAAAGAAGGGATCTCAATCCTTGCTTGAGAGGGAGAAAATGATAGTCTATATTGAGTTATCACAAGTGATATCAGAAATGTGTTCAATCATCCTAACGCAGAATTATCATATCAAGATTTTTGGATGGGTATGCGTGATGACATTGTGTGTTTGTCCATTTAGGTGAATACGTGTATATGCCATCATTTGATATTCAAACTATTGTTTTCTCATGTATAAACATGATAATATGATAAATTATTTTCTCATGGAACCTACCAACACATTTGTACCTTTCAGGCTCTGGAGGAGAAAGCGCTGTTGTTGGAGGTAAATCAGTTAAAATTTATTGTTCTGATTGAGCGAATAAGATATAAGCATATGGTGTTTTCAATGTAGAGCTCTGTCATTTGAACATGAATCAGAAGTTGTTGTTATGTGAACGTACTTACCTAGATTTGTTTATCTAATGAAGGTTTGTAAATTTCGGCTTCCGTCTACCCTACAAATATTGTCTGACTTAGCTGAACAATATGCAATACCCTAAAAATGTATCACATATCCCAGTGGTGCGTAGGTAACTCTGTAATGGTATGTCAATTATTTTGCAGCGAGGACGACGAATTGGATCCTAAGAGGTAACGTGTTCTGATGATAGCTATGACTTTGGTTGGCTGGTTTGTTGTTTAACACCGCACTCAGCAATATATCAGCTATATGACGGCGGTCTGTAAATAATCGAGTCTGGACCAGACAATCCAGTGATTAATATCATGAGCATCGATCCATGCAATTGGGATGCATCAATCAAGTCTGCGACCCTGACCACCCGGTCCCGTTAGTCGGCTATTATGACATGCATAGCTATGGCAAGCACAAGTGTTTAGCTATACTATATATAACAATATCTGAAATAGCCTGTGATTTTAAGCCATCTCAATCAGCTAGATGAATGCACAATTATAGCTCTGTAATGGTATGTGTCAAATTCTCTTGTCAGGTCAACCACAGAGAAAGGCAGTTCTATCAGCAAGAACGACGAAATGGTCCCTTTGAGGTAACGCGTTCAATGTTATCATTACCAAAGCACGTGTATTTAGCTATACTCTCTTTTCACACTTCCGCGCAGTGATGACTTACGCCATTCCCACATCATAATCACGACTTTCCCCTTGTGTGTAAACAAACACGTTTATTGTGAGAACTGAGCAGAGGGACCTAATCGAAACATTTCAGTACAGATTGTTCTGTTATTAATACCCATACCCATACGCTAATAAAACGGCGACAGTGAGGACGATGACAATATACCTTTACACATTAAGTGACGGAATCTCGATGTCTGCCTGTGGAGTAATAAAACCACTGTAAACAAAGAAATAAATACAGAACCGAAAACCGTTTTCCCTCTTTTCCCCCTATTTACTCATTAAAAGTTAACCATTTTGTAACATATATTTATCTGAATGTGTCGGCTTTTAAAACTGTAGAAGGTGACAAACAAATGTAATTTGTTAAATGGACCGTGTAAAATGTGAGGAAGCATCACACCTCGCTGGCTTGTGACAGAGGTACTAGCTATAGGCTGGCTGCAGGGACCTCTGGGTAAGTTCTCTGTTGTCTCCAAAACTATAGAATAATACGATGTGATCAATGTTCCACAAAACTTGAATATATATTCTTGCCCCAATATATTTGTCACCAGGTCGAAAAACCAGTCTTGTCACGGTCTAGTGACAGCACCGCTCCCCTCTCCTTTAATTGTTCGGCTTCCGTCACCATTCAGCAAAGTCCGGCAGTCGTCGTTGTCCAGTGTCTTTGCATTCCTTGTTAAAGAATGAGTGATCCGTAAATTTTGTTCTCTAGCTATTAATGGCATCACCGTTTTATGTGATATATGTTATCTCATATGTGTTTGCTACCTTATTCATGTGTTGTAAATGTTTTTTGTGACTAGGATTTGCACACGGAAGCGGGATTAGCAAGTACTTGTAGATATTTCTCCTGTATTTATGGTCATTTTTGCCACCTCCATAATTGTACACACCTGTCTGTAAATCGTTAGTGGTACCGTTGGGTAGCTTATGTTCAGCGCTTTATTTTGGTTCTTACATCTTCCGCATTGGTTCAGTAGTTTGCTATTCGGGTTTTCCCTATGTAAGAAACACACTTTGTTAAGCTCGGCTGTTGCATTTCCGGCTGAACAGGAAAGGTTGTCCCCTCCAACGTCAGCGCACTCGTATAAAAACCCTTGTCAAATTCATTTGTCTTTACCTCCAGGCGTTGTTAGACTGTTTACGGGTCGTCTTGCAACTGGGTGGTCATTCGAAACTCAGGTTTCGTTCGTAAGTGATTACGGGGCATTGTTAATCTAGTACTGACTCTGGTTATTAGCTAGGGTTTTTTCATACATCGTTTTTCTAGTAATCCGTGGATAACCAACCTTCCCGCAGTTGTCTAGTTTAGATCAAGTACCTCTTTACTATTGAGAGTCAAAGTATTCTTTTGGTCAAGTACCCTTTTTATTGATAGTGAGTCTAGATACTCCTTAGGTCAAGTACTTAACATTTTTTGGAAAGTTTAGAATTTCCTTGCCAGGCCAATGTGACTTTAGTCTATGAGACTAGTTTGATATTATATTTTATTGTAGTGAGGTTATTCACTTATTAGGGTTTTGAGTTTATTACCTTCCAGGTGTTAATTGCTCGCTATAGTCTTAATTGGTTGTCTATGCATCTTGTCAATATGTTGTCAAAGTGTTGTTTTAGCTACTCTCATTTTATTACTGCTACGCAGTTGCTTAGCTCATCAGCTTGTGTATTTGCAATGATTTAATTTAATTGATCAGTAATCATTGTCGGTGTAAATTGGGAGTTTGTTCTTTCATATTGTCACCTATTGATTCAATTAGCCGCTAATGATATACGTGTGAACCTATTACCACGTTTTCATTATTACTTTTTTCTTGTTTAATGGCACCCTGATCTCTGGAGCACAGCTCCGTGACTATCCGTTCTGATGTCTGGTGGTCTTTATGTATGGATTATATACTCACACGCAAAAGAAACGCAAGTCGAGTATGCAGTATACATGTTATTTATTTTCAACAGTAAAGACAAGAAATACTTATAGGGCAAGATTGACAAAAATTTGACTGGAGACAGTCATAGACAGATAAAAAGGCAGATGACATAATTGGTGGGTTTTTTTAGATGTTAAGGACTTACACAGTTTCGGGTCAATACCCAAAATGTCAGTCAATACCTGGTGTGACCACCATTAGCATTGATCACTGCCACACATCTCCTGTACATTGAGTGGATCAGACGATTTGTGAAGTCCCTAGGGATCCTCCTGCACACATCCAGAGCAGCTGTGCGTAGTTCATCGGCAGTTGTAGAGATTGGGCGCACATTCTGCAGACGCCTTTGAATATTCATCCCACAAGTGTTCGATGGGGTTCAGATCAGGGCTGAGGGCTGGCCACGGTAGAACACGGATGCTGTGTTGTTGCAGAAAGGCCATGGTAGCTTTGGCAACATGGGGACGAGCGTTGTCCTGCTGGAAAATGTGTTGTTGATGTTGTGCAAAACATGGAACAACGTGGGGTCTGATCACTTGACGCCGTGTCCCCGACCATGACCAACATTCAGAAAGCACATGGGTCCAAGTCTCGCATTAAGTCCAATCCTTGCCCATATCATGACGCTAGGTCCACCCCATGGATCCCTTTCCACAACGTTTCTGTCAGCGAAACGATCACCTCGACGCCGCCAAATTCTGACTCTTCCGTCTGCATGGGAGACACAAAAGCGACTTTCATCAGAGAGGAGAACACGCCTCCACGCACGATGACGCCAATTGTGATGACCCTGTGCCCACTGAAGTCGTACTTGTCGATGCCGTGGTTGGAGAACATGAGGACGTGTTGGTCGGCGACATCTAGATCTGAGGTTGTTGAAACGGAGACGTCGGATCACAGTGTCCCGGCTAATGTGTCGATTATGTGTTCCTATGGTCTGTCGAGCACTTTCACTTGCAGTTAGAAACGGATGTCGCTGGTGTTAACGGGTAATCTGCCGATGTTGTCGAGGAAGGTCATCTGTGGTCTGTGTAGCATTGTATCGATGCAGGAGACGGTAAATTGTGGTTATGTTAACGTTGAAATGACGGGCAACCTCTTGGACAGACTCTCCAGCTTCCAAACGTCCGATAGCCTGGTTTCTCTGAATTTGAGTTAGGCGTGGCATTGTTGACCAAGGAGTGGTAGGTCCACAGTTTTATACCCACTACAGTTCGTGACAGTCCGTGCATTTTCGATTTCGCGAGAAATGGTTGCATGATACCCACATATTCATTGAAATGGTGTGTTTTGGCGATTCGTTTTTTATGTTGCGTTTCTACTCGGGGCTTACAAAATGCGACCAAAAATATTGATAACACCATCAGGCTTCACTACATGCTAACACTCGTATCAATTTATGGTTCCGTGTTTGTTACCTATTTGCTTAAAACCACTTGCGTTTCTTTTGCGTGTGAGTATATATTGTTGACATCTGAAGTCATTTGAACATATAATATCAACGTAGATATCCGGATTTGTGTATCTAATGAAGGTTTGTCTTGGCATGACAGTTTAAGGATAGTAATTCGAAAACATCGGGTGTTCTTCAACTCCAGCGTCTGTTGTGTGGTATTTTCTAAAATGTTGTATATCCGTTTTATGGGGCCGTCACACCATGGCGTTCTGGTCAGCGTTCTATGACGTTTGAGGAAAGGTTGGTAGTCGCCCATGGTCGCTGGGATAGCGCCAGAAGAGCGTTGTGTGAACGCTATTGAACGTCGGTGATCGCCGGGAATCGGCGGAGAACGCTGGTCCGGAAAAAAAGTTTTGAACATGCACAAAAGTTTTCACTGAGACCAGCGTTCTTCAACGTTTAATTTTAAACGCTGAAGAACGTTTAAGAACGTTCGTGGAACGTTTTACTAACGTTCGCCGAGCGTTGCACGCGTTCGGCTATCGTTAGTCAGTCGTTACTCTAGCGTTACTTTGTTGTTACTAATCGTTTGCTTTGCATTGAACGACTCACTGGCGACCTGTCAACGACCGCTGAACGGTCCCCTAGCGCACCGTAAAAATAACACGCCAGCAAGTCGCTATTCTGTCGTTATTCACACGTTAGTCACACGCTCAACACGCTCGTCTAACGTTGACAAATCGTTCGTCGCGCGCCAGTGGCACGTTAGCACACGCTAATGGTTTTCAGGGGTATCTTACTTGGTCGCTGTTACACGCTTCTCGTGCGTTAGACACACGCTAGTCATGCGTTAGGCACACGTTAATCACACGCCAGATGTGTCATCCTCATTCTAGAACGCTCAAAAATTGAACGATTGAAATGTTCAGAGAACGTTGACCAGAACGTCATGGTGTGACGACCCCTTTACATAGGAGGGCCTCAAGTTCCACGTGTCGCTGTGGTCCATTACAAGAGACAAAACCTGTATTTTTCTATTGCCTTTATTTTACCTCCGTACAGGCGTGCCTTAATTTAAATTTAATGACATCCCCTTGACAGTTTAAATGTCACGCTCCGTCATTTTGCTTATGAACACCTCAAACCTCAAACAGAATGATGTCAGTTAAGTCGTTGTTAAACGTGTTACCAAATGATCAAGAGTGTGCCTGATCATTCACCTCTGCCTATCTATCCTACTGGACACGTGAAAGAAAAGTAACTGTTGATTTAATGATATAAACAAACACTTAAGTAGTAACGTAATGATATTGGTCATATGGGTTTTTAAGGGTACAAATGTTGTTAAGTATAATATTAATTGAAATTTTGAGTGGTTGAGTATAATTGTATGCTGCTTTATCCATCTTCCAACAATATCACAGTGGGAGATAAAACTTGTATCTGCTCAGATAAATGGTGTAAAGCCGGTTCGTAATGATCTATTATTATATACATTAAATTGATTATGTAGTTAAGGAAGTAATATATTTTATTCGTCACAACACTTTTAGATTTCATCAAATAAACCAACATTTGTATACATCTGTTATATGATATCTCCATTCTGTGTCATGTGCCAGACTAATCTGTCTTTTTTTCTTGTTGCAGTGAAACGGTAACAGACAGATCAGTGAGTTAATATTTAACACTTTAAAAAAACAATAATACATGGAGATGAGGATAAGATAATACAGTTAACCACCAACATATCCTACAAATTGGGACAGAGAGGAGCAAGAGATCTAGACGTATTTTCTGTGGTTCCTTGTGTTATCGCAAAGGAAATGATAAAAAAGGGTGTTCTTTCTGACACTCGTCACTATCTGCAATGTAGACATTATTGTAATGTAGTTATATAGCAGAAGGCCATGAACACCTGGGAAACAGTGCCCATGCTCCCTAAGCAGTAGTAGGATCGATAGTAACTGACATAGAAAGTGTTTTGTTGGGAATGTTACAAATGTTCTTCCATCAAGTGAATGGGATCTCAAAAGTGCCTGACACATATGCATACAGCATAACACGCAACTACTTGCACTTGACTATCAGTCCATGACGCAGGATTGAAGAACGGGACATTTCCTACAAAAAATACTACAACAGAATATAATACATTCTCAGAAAAGTAGGGCAAATTGTTATTGTTATTGTTACAAATGTGAAAATTAATCCGATGGGTTATAAGCAATTGATAATCAACTGCTCGAATCCTGTCCAGCACCTGCATGTTTCCCTTTGTCAAAGACTGACTGTTTATTAATTTTCGCCAGACCGGACAATAATATAGACGCGCATATTGTACCAGATTATTGCCAAATGTACAGGTTTGTTTGTTGTTATATACCATATGCAGCAATATTCCCGCTGTCTGACAGCGGCCTGTAAGTCATCGACCCTGGATAAAGGCAGTGATTGATATTGTGACAACCGAGACATCCGATCTATTAGGAAGGTATTTATTATTAAATATTCTTTAATGATTTATTGTTAAGACAATACCAATTTACTCGTTTATTTTGCAGGAGATACCTGTTGGAATAGTTGCAGAAAGACGGATTGCACTAGAGAATTCAACAGAATAAGAAAGAGCTAGTGATGTTAACGTAGATAATTTTGGAAATGACGATATGCCAGGCCAATACTGAACAATACAGACCCGTGAAGGTCCGAGTTAGAATTGATCTTCAGCAACCCATGCTTGTCGTAGTTGCGACTAACGGGATCAAGTGATCAGGCTTGGTGACTCGGTTGATACATGTATGATTACTCGGGACCAAGTCTAACCCGGAAAGTTTGGAAGGGTCCCGATTGTCAAACGCCCCACCTGCCAGACCAGTGACCAGTATCACTGCCTAGTCTTACCTACTTAATTAATCCAACTGCGAACAAAGGAAGTCATGTGATAAAGATTTCAAGATTGTGAGCGTGTATAAGTTGTGTTTGGTCTTTGCCCGGTTGTTTCAATGATATAGACCATGGGACTCAGTGTATGCTAATGAAATCCTATGACCTTAGAGTTTACTTTGCATTCTTATCAAGTTAATTAAATAATAGAAAGATTAGAACTCATAAACAGATTAACTTCTCCATAACATGAACAGAACAGAAGTTTATTCAAACAGAAAACTTGGGCTACAAGTCCCTCGTCATACAATTTACAGATACATGGCAGAGGGAGTGCGAAATACGCTGCAGTCGGAAAGCGCACGTTAAATCTTCTATATCAGAGGGAGTCAGTTATTAATAGAAGCATGATTTGATATATTTTGCGATGTAAATTATAAGCGTTTTACTGTTAATTTTAACAACTGTTTAATTTTAACTTCACTTGGATTTTGCCAGTAATATTCAATAATATATTTAGCTCTATAATTGTGAAACTTTAGACATATTTATAAGAAATGGCTCTTTGACATTTACAAACCAATTTTCCCCATTACGTCAGATACCTCTTTTACGAAAAAACATTACTTTATAAGTATAATCCCACATGTAGTATGCCTTTGATGCTGCTCTCCCACCCAGGAAGAAGGTGTACTGAGAGGAGACTGCTGCGTCCTAGAATTTTTGGATGCAGTTGGACATTTGCTGAAGCTGGGGTTGAGCAATAATAGTTTTGTTCTCTGTCATTTGTGTAGGGCTGATCTACTTTACATTAAGGCAAACAGGTAACAATTACCAGTGCACTCAAATTTCCTTACCCGGTACAGGCCGTCTGATGGTTGGGTCATCTGACAATTGGGAGGTTACCTTTGGAAGTGTCCTCCTTCAGACGTGGGGCCGACAAGTATTTTATTCATCCTTTTGATGTTTTCCTTTCTCTCAGTGTACTTTACACAGAATGTCAATTAGAGTGTATGTTTTTTACACATGTAAATAGTTTTCGCTATCTGCCTTGATTGCGTGACATTGCATTAGTAACGTCTAGCGCATTGTAGCATTGCATAATGTACAAATTCAATTTTGGATGTGTTTTGACATGTTCTGGCTTGTACGTAGTCTGTGTGTGTGATTCATATACCATTATGACCCGTCATGAGAAAGGGTATTTTTCTAAATAAATCTTATTTGAAGTGTGTGCTGATTTTCAGTGTTGTTCTCTATATTTGACGGAAATGATACGAGACATTTTTAAATGATTAATTAAGCTGGACTGGGAAATAAAAGATGTATCGATGGCCAATATCCGTGTCAGTATGCGGAAATGGAGTGTGTTTTTCCCGACTATGGTCTCTTGTACTCGTTGGTTTTACTGTGGACGTCTACAAACGCACAGTCAGACAGACAGACAGACAAATTGTTTATTTGAGTTTCACTTCACAATATATATAGCATAAATATATTAGTGTAAAAGGGGTACCGGTCACTAGCCATATAAAATATATTTTCTTCGTTGGAGAATTAAAAAGCAGGTTATAGCTGTAAAATATGCATAATTTTTAAAAGTAAAATAAGTTTATCAGTTTTACATAACTCCAGGAAGTTGGGATAGCTAAAACTGACTTTTCACGCAAATCATCGTACAGAGAGCAATACATGACATTCATCCTCAATACTTTCCTTACACTAACCTCACACACAATCATATGGCTAAATATTGTTCTAACATTTTAGAGCAGAACAAGTAACACCAAGTCGGATTAATCAATTCAAAGTCTTTGCCCTACACGTTTTGTTTTCATTAATGCGGCCTCTGCAGTGAAACGACTGACGAGAAATGTTGTAAATGGAAATTACGGGAATAAATTCAATTAACCAGTCCTCATATTTCAAGCATTGAAGTCCACACAAGCTTAAAAACTGCGAAAAAAGATCGAGATCCTTGTAAGAAGTGAGTCGTACCGTAAGCACGAGATTTGTGGTATTTGTGTAATAAAAGTCCATTAAGGTTTAGGTGATAACTCTGCGTCACGATAACCGTTGGTATGTATCTGATGTAAAGTATCTACAGTTACTTTGCCATTTGAAAAAGGTTATTCTGAACACAAGCAAAGGATTGACAGATAAGTAGTAAATAATTGTCACACTGAAGATTGATTGATTGAGTTAAATCTGTTTCGTTTTATGTATCTTTTACTGAATATCAAATACTTGTCAAAACCTAATTTTGGATTCGGGAAACTTTAATTAAGAAATATTCCTACTGTGTTTTCAAATGAGATAACGGAGTTAGAACCTACGCCGAAACGTCGCTCTTAATTGTAATAAAGAAGTTGTTCATCCATAAATTCTTATCCTTACTTAGTACTCCAACTTCTAAATGCCTATCAAAGAAGTTCAAATGAGAGGTTTACAACGTACATTTTAGATTTGATAATTGGAAATTTCGAAACCAAACCCCATTTAAATTGAAAACAAAGTAGGTTTGTTGCTTTCCTACCATAACAAAGTGAGAAAATATGTGATGAGTGTGGCACTCAGGTAGAGAATATATAGGAGATAACAAACATCAAGTCAATACAAGGTATGAGCGTGCCATTAAATCACAAGAGAATGACATAGTCTAGCCACTAAATCTCTGACTTTGAATGCAATGACAATGTACAACGACCGCCGGACTTTGCCGAAGCGGTGTCGGAAATAAAGCGAGGGACCTAACTGGACACTAGACCGTGCCAAGGGTAAATCCACACAGGAGTACAACCTAGTATCTAAGGACAATATGTGCTTATGGGAGCAGAGAACTTTCGAAATATGCAGCTGCATGTTCTATTGACTTATTTCCTTATTGGATCGGAATTAACAGTTGTTCAGAAGCCGTAACTCCACTGGTAGATATGTTCGTTCCCTGTGTCTAATAGGTTAAACAGATCTCTTCGCAATTGAACAAAATCTAATTTAGAACGCTACACATTAATATCCCATACATGTGCCCTGAGTTTCGATGCCTGTGTTTGAAGAAGGGTATAGATATAATGTTTTCACCGTTTCAAATAGTGGGAGTTACCTCCCGTTCCTTAAGCAGCGGACGTTTCGAAATTGTAAATTACATAATAACATGTCATTATCTAAAGCAATTACAGTTGACTACGGTTAAAACGAACACGCTTATAACGAACTGACGGATATAACGAACTTTTTTTTTGGTCCCGACTCTTTGCTGTAGTTATGCTGTATATATGCTTATAACGAACAACTGTTATAACGAACTACAATTAGTAGTACAATTGAGTTCGTTATAACCGTAGGTTACTGTATATGTGAAACACTTGCAGCTGGCACACGTGTTTGTGTCATAAGGACGCTTTGTTCAGACAGTAATTCTACAATTAATTTCGGAAATACTCAATGCTGATTGTCAATTAGAGGTATTAAATCACAATAACCACATCGGATTGAAACGGTCGTTTCCGGACCGCATTAACGTTTACATAAGGGTGTCTAGTACACAGTGGAACTACCTCAAATATAAAATATATACATGTATGTTGTATCATTTAAAACCTTTGTGCGTATTTGGAATCTTTTGTGATAACAAGGAACTATAATTTCATTGTACACGACAGTGTATGTAAACCATTCACATGTCACCTAGTATGCATGTCCTTTTGAATTCTCTTATTTCCGTGTACTGATATCCTGGAAGTTATTTCGCATTTCCCATTCATACATTCACTGACCTGTATTAATCGTGTTTCGATCTATAACGTAGCATTTAGTTAAACTTCAGTCACGGGGCAATATTTCGAGCAAAGTGAGACTTACCTTTTATGTAAAATACTTGAATTGTTTTGGTTAATGCCATTTTGATATTGTTTTATGTAATCTGCTTAGCTCTGTGCAACCTTGAAAAAATATATACCCTGCCGTCGCGGCAACAAAAATGTTACCTGTATCTTTAATCTCTGCAATGCAAGCTCCTCAGAGCGAGAGGGGCGGTCGGGTTGCCTAATGGTTAAAGCTTTCGCTCGTCACGCCGAAGACCCGGATTCGATTCGCGACATGGGTACAATGTGTGAAGCTCATTTCTGGTGTCCCCCGCCGTGATGTTGCTGGAATATTGTTAAAAGCGGAGTTAAACCATACTCACTCACCCCTTACAGCGAGAGAGCGTAGCGTGATGTACATGTATATATGTTATAGTCGATGTGTAATGTCAGTCAGTTGTAAAATGACTGAAATATTTTCCCGTTTATGAATACTGGGTTTGTAGTGAGTGAGTGAGTTGATTATTTTAACCCGCTTTGCAAGTATTCCAGTTATATCACGGCGTGTCAGCTAAATGTGGAAGGCCCGAAGCGATGCTCTCTCTGACGTTCACCGAGGGGCGGTCGGGTAGCCTAGTGGTTAAAGCGTTCGCTCGTCACGCCGAAGACCCGGGTTCGAATCCCGACATGGGTACAATGTGTGAAGCCCATTTCCGGTGTCCCCCGCCGTGATATTGCTGGAATATTGCTAAAAGCGGAGTAAAACCATACTCACTCACCCACTCACTCTGACGTTTACTTCTTGGGTGATACCCACGAGCATGGGTATGGTGCCGACATACCAGGAAACAATCGGGGCAAAACCGAGATTCAAACCCACGACCATAGTTGTTCGGCGTGCCCAAGGGGCAGAACAATGCGGTGTAATGCGGTGCCTGAGAGGACTGGGCCACACGTGCCCCCACTGGGTCTGTAAGTGTAACTAAAACACATGTACATCGACCTACATTTTCATAGTGGACATATGTTATATTGATGTAATATATTTCATACATTTACGCATGTATGGCTTCTGATAAGGGAATACCAGTGATTGACATCATGAACATCGATCTTTATAGGCATGGGATACTGAAGATTATCTCATCCGGATAACGAGTAAGTGAGTGAGTATGGTTTTACGCCGCTTTTAGCAATATTCCAGCAATATCACGGCGGGGGACACCAGAAATGGGCTTCACACATTGTACCCATGTCGGAACTCGAACCCGGGTCTTCGGCGTGACGTCCGGATAACGAGGGATAGATTACTTGTAAGAGGATAACTGAAGTTGTGTTCGTTGTTCAGTGATTGACTTAAACAGTGACAAACGAAGATTCAAAGCATTTATTCAGTACATGTACGTCCCAAAAACGGCTTCACCAAATACGCACATAAGTAAGAAATTAACCTGCAAAGATTCTGTAATGATAAAGTGACACACCATTGTAATATACATGAGGGCACATATAGAAATATATAAGTTCCAAGTAGCACGCCTTGGAGAAAACTAAACGAGTCATTACAAACAAAAGCATATCTACAGTGAATAGACAGTGAATGTTGCGAAACAACAACAGCAACAACAACAACAACAGCAGCAACAACATCAGCTTTTTGACGAATACTTTGCCGGACGATCGAATATTCATACATTGTTGATTTTGAATCTACCTTACTCGATATTTTATTGGGAAAGTCGCTGTCTTGGGGCAAATAACACTCTCTGGTAACACCATATGTCTCAAAACATATATTCAGTACAATATCAATCTTAGGATATCTTTCACACAGCATGGTTCCAGATCAACCGAAAAGCTGTATACATGTTTTCTCGCTTGCATTCAGGCAATGTTTGAAGATGGTTGGTATTCCAGACCTTGTTTCATACAAATATGCAAGTAGCAGCAGGCTGAGGTTGACCTAAACTGTGCATGTTACATAGAATACTATTACATATGTACAAAGTGTTAGTCAGGTTACGATACATCGTAACGTTTCACGCACAGGAAGGTAAGGCGAAGTGTCCTCATTTGCAAACTTTGTTTCAGTGAGGAAATTTTATATAAACGTGTCACTGTTTCTGTTTCGCATGTTATAATGATGTCGTCTCCGGTTAATGTATTGACAAAATTGTCATAACAAATACTAGTACATGTAGGTTGCCATCCTGGGTTATAATACGTCTTTAAGAGTTGATAAACAGAGAATATAGCTTCAAGTATATCGCGGCTTATCAGTTTAATGTTGAAGACACGCTGAAAGTGATGCAAATGAAAGAGACGAAAACAAACTATAGTAACAAGGAAAGAAAAAATGATAATAAAACAATAAATTGAAATCCTTCCTTCTCAACAGATTATATGTAACACACGCAACACGTCATTCTAGTTTGTTAGTTGTATAACACCAGACAATGCAGCGATTGACATCATGGGTAACAATCTCCGCCGTCGGGTTACTGTGTGAAGAACCTGTCCTCTCGATCCATTAGGTCGCCTCGTCCAGCAGAGGTAGCGTGCACCTGTTCTAATGCAACATCCCCACCGAATACACCAGACTGGACAGGAGCTTCAGGGATACATCCTTATAGACCGATAGGATCCGTGAAAATCCGGGAAAGAATAGGTCTTCAGCAACCACGCTTGTCGTAAAAGGCGACTATGCTTGCGATTAACGGTGTTGTGTGGTCAGGCTCGCTGGCTTTGTTGATACATGTCATCGTATCCCAATTGCGTGGATCGATGCTCATGATGTCAATCACTGGATTGTCTGGTCCAGACTCGGTTATTTACAGACCGCCGTCATATAGCTTGAATATAGCTGAGTGCGGCGTTAAACAACAAACAAATATAGACGTTTTGACTGAAGGGTGTCAGTTTGTTGAAGGTTGCAAACCAAATCATCCATTGTACTTGATTTTAATGAGACACCTTGCGACCAGGACGTCGAAACAGGTTGGTTGAAGAGATGCATGTATTTCAAGGAAATGGACAAGTGTATTCATATTCAGAGTGTCTGGATTTCATTGAGTTGACAGGTACTTTCCACGAGAATGAATCAACGCTTCATACAAACTGCTTTGGGGATTACCACATCTCTGAACACCAGCTGAAATATGGTTTGGTTGATGATGAACGTTGATTTCTGGAATGTCCACGTACGAGTGAGTCGTTGAGTCCCTTGCTTCGTTGTCTGTGTCGGAGGAACACGGTGGGTCACGCAGCTCAACTGCGCAGGTACTTTCTCTGTAACAAATACAAGATCGTAAGTATTTATAGCAGTTACAGTGAGACCCCAATAATCCAGACCGTATACTACACAGTAAAATCGCCAAGATCATGATATTCTGGATTAACGAATATTGGGTGTACAGTAATGTCTGTAGGTATATATACTATGCAAAAACAGTAGGTTATTTGTGTTGTTTTGTGGTGAAACTGCAGGAACATACATCACTGTCTGGCAATGAAAGTAAGTGATTTATATGTCAAGAACATTTCCGAACAAGCTCCCTAACACAACATTGTGGCAGTCATGAAGCACGTGACCTCGGACAGCACGTGCAAGGGGTGGTATGCCAGATTTACCATTGCCACTCAGACTCGGTTTTTCACACGTTTATTGTTTTCTTGGAACCAGCGTTCAAATACACGAAACACATTTAATCATTAAGGAAGCAGCATAATTAATCATGCGACGTTTGCAATGTCCTGACCGTTTACATACTGTAGCTATGTTTCATGTGGGCGCACGTCAGAATATTGTTGCACAAACGCTGCATGATTTTCAATCTGTCATCAGCAGATTCATCTTACCGAGGCAAGGAAGTTTACTGACTATATAAGTCCAGTTTCCACCCTTGCCGGACTAGGCTCGTAGACCCAATAGTTGAAACTGGACTTTTCATATTCAGTTAACTCTCTTGCCTCGGTGGAAACTGGACTCAATATAGTCATGCAACTCCCTTGCCTCGATGGAAACTAGACTTTATATAGTCATGTAACTCCCTTGCCTCGGTGGAAACTAGACTTTATACAGTCAGTTAACTCCCTTGCCTCGGTGGAAACTGGACTTCATATAGGCAGGTAACTCCCTTGCCTCGGGAAGATGCAGCAGATTGTGGGCTAGATACCAACAAACGCATAACGCCGAGTATCGACGCCGCTATGGACGCCAAAGGTTAACCACTCCAGCCCAAGGCAGTTTCATAAAAACGATAGCGTTACGAAATCGTGGCACTTGGTGTAAGGTACCTGCCTAGACGGTTCGAAAGCAAGACGTCCACGTGTCACCCACAACTTACTGCACGTCATTTGAACCAGAGGCGCCAGTTGTCTATGGACGTCAGCATAGAGAATATTGCTAAAGGCGGCGTAAAATCAGGCTCACTAACTCCATGACTGAAGAAATCTTGTTCGGGGGCGTCGTAATGAGCGTTTTATGGACATACAGCGTGGTTGTTTTGGGGGTGGGTCCATAATGGTATGGGATGGTATCACAATGACTGATCGAACTGCGCTCCATATTGTCCATGGCAGAGTCACACATATAGAGAATCTCACCAGAGTGTCTTTTGATATCAAATATATCTACACAAGTTGATAAAAGTGGAAACACACCGAGGCTTGCCGAGGAGGTTTTCCACTTTTATCAACGAGTGGTGAGTGTTTTATCAACGAGTGTTGATACCAAAGTGGTAAACGTCCTGGTCCTGTATCACAGTGAGTTGGTAACTGGAATACTGTTCAGAGCGTCGTTAAATAACACTCACTTACTGTGTGGACCAGTGGACGTGGAAGTCACTGTATGTATCAATATCTATTAAGCGTCGACACATGCGGGCGTTTAAAAGTAAACAATTATATTTAGTTCCATCAGCGAAGATTTCTTACGATTATAGAAATGGTTTTGTCGTTTTTATTAACAAATTATGCACATGTTAAAAATGTGGTTACTAAAGGTGTTAATTTCGAAATCATCAACATCAACGCTCACTTCATCATAATATAATTCAATGACATAATGACTGAATCACGACCAGTGAGCACAGTGGGCACAATGAGCTATGGCTGTTTCATTTCCGATCTATTGCATTAAGGTCTTACGTTATTACCTTTTCTGGGGGGCACGGGGGGCCCAGTCGTCTAAGGCGCCGCGATTCGCTGTGCAGAGAAACCTATGATTGTGGATTCGAATCCAGGTTCGCCCCGATTATGTTTCTAGGTTTGTCAGCACCATACTCGTGCTCGTGGGTTTCACCGAAATGGTAAACGTCTGAGACCTGCATCACTTCGGGCTTTCCTCCCACATTAAGCTGACACACCGTGATATAACTGGAATACTGTTAAAAGCGGCGTTAAACCCAACTCACTCACTCACTCACTCACTCACTCACTATTACCTTTTCTTACGTCCATACTTCACTCCTGCCCGATAAGCAATCCCAATAACACACAGGATGACAAGAACTGCAGCAGCCACACCGACACCTATCCCCCACCACAGCAAGGTGTTCTGCCCTGAAGGATTCTCCTCCTCGTCATCTGTGAAAACATCTGATTCATTTAATAGCGTACATGTGTATTCACAGCCAGGCTCCTCCAGCAGATGTTTGCAGGAGAAGCACCTTTTCGCTGATAAGGTAATTTATACAGTAAACTACGGTTATAACAAACTCAAAGGGACCACTAATTTTGGTTCGTTGTAACAGTAGTTCGTTTTAAGCATATATACAGCATATATACAAGAATTGGCCGGGACTAAAAATTAAGTTCGTTATATCGGTCAGTTCGTTATAAACGTGTTTGTTATTACCGTAGTTTACTGTACTGACGTGCAAAATATACGCTGGCCAATGATGGTCGTGCTTAAACGGACATTACTTTGTTTTCTTTCCAATAAGTCACAGCATTCTGTAGCATTTCAATAAAACATGGAATGTTGCAACCTGCAAATTTTAATTGTAAATTGTTCATAATTTATTAGCTTGCTGGGAACAAAACATCCAGATAAACTAGAGGTAGGTCCTACAACGGGATGTTGGGTACATTACTGGTCAAACAATATGTCACTCCGAATGAGGTCAAGACCAAACAATTCGTATGACGTTGGGAAGATGTGTACCTGCCTCAGGTGCAGTAGAGGGGACGTGTATTTTGACTAGAAGTGTTTAATATCCTGTTACCTTCATTTGTGCGATTTGGGCCGCCGTTGCAGATGTTCGCCTGGTGTTCCATGATATATTCGAGCGTACAATTTTCAGTCATTGGGTCACACGCCTTGTTCAAAGGACCAATGCTACAGTCTCCTGACTTCATCAATTGACAGCCCTTTGCTGCATGAGGGTCACATCGTAAGCAGGTTCCATTTCGAGAGCAAGACGACTTCATATGTTCGCAAATTTCTCTGTGTTCTTTGTCACCACAATGATCACATTGATACTGTGCTACTGTCTCTGTGCATTCTTGGCACATCAGAAAACACACAAGAACAGGGCGACGTGTGGCAATGTTACTGGTACCGATAGGGCTGGAATAACTGCTGAGCGATGACAAATCCGTTTCTACTGGAGGTATTGGCGAAGATGTTACACAGTCTTCACCATTACCCCTATCCCTACATGAAGTACATTCAGATGTGAGCTGGTCACAGGAGCCGGATTTGCAGTGTTGTGGACAAAATTCTTGGCAAGACATCCCCGTAAATCCATTCATACATCCTTTAGAGCACTTGAGTTGGCTATTAAGGTACTCGCAAATTCCGTCTTTACACCTTTTACTACAAACAGATTCACATGTCTCTGCTTGCATTCCCCTGCCACATTGTTCAGGACATCTGAAGCATGGATCTCTGCCAAAGTTGCAGGTTAAACCACATGGCTGACAGTGTACCTGGACGTCATCTATGGAACAATATTGTCCTGAAAAGTGAATAAAATTACATCAATGTCAAAACGAGACCCTTTTGTGTATGTGTGTGTGTGTGTGTGTGTGTATGTGTGTGTGTGTGTGTGTGTGTGTGTGTGTGTGTGTGTGTGTGTGTGTGTGTGTGTGTGTGTGTGTGTGTGTGTGTACGTGTGTGTGAGTGTGCGTGCGTTTGTGTGTGTATGTGTACGTGTGTGCATGTGTGTGCCACTCAGACACATTATAATGACACCTTGACCTTGTCCTTGTTTTATTCCCTCAGTGCTACAGAGCGAGAGGCAGGACAACAACAAGTTCCATAATCATTTAACGCCCTATAGTATGACGCGGCAGGGAATCTAAAAACCGACCTCCCACTTTCCGTGTATACGATCTATCCACGAGGCAACGAAGGCGGTCTTAGGTTTCAGTTAAAGGTATTCATCGTGACAATGGGGTTACGAATGGCCCAATTGTAACCTATATTTGTTGCACTGCCCTACCTGAAATTTACTTTCCATGACCCCTTTCACAAAGCAATCATGGCTTTACAAATGTCTATGTGTGGCAGATACATATTATTGTATTATATAGTTATATAAATATTAGTTTTAAGTCATTTTATCATTGCATTGATATTTGTATACTGACAATTGCTTTAGGAATTGCAGGTATATCATTTCCTATTGTAACTCATGAATGTATTTTTGTCTATCAACAGGATTTGGTCATTTTGATACAGACTATAGTTATAAGGACACAGAAGGTTTCAGAGTTGGGTCTATTATTAGCTCTATAGTAAATTTCATTCTAATATAATTGAGGGTAGATAGGTAGGGCTACCACATTATTAGGTGACCTGATTTAATCAACACCGATTGGATCATTCAAACTCTTGCCCTCTTTCTTAATTCAAATATGCACTTCACATTCACTCTTTGCACCAGCAGGATTGTAATACCATGGAGTCATAAACAGATGCAAATACCTCACAGATTTTGCACCAGCAGGATTGTAATACCATGGAGTCATAAACAGATGCAAATACCTTACAGATTTTGCACCAGCAGGATTGTAATACCATGGAGTCATAAACAGATGCAAATACCTCACATAATTTGCACCAGCAGGATTGTAATACCATGGAGTCATAAACAGATGCAAATACCTCACAGATTTTAGGTACGCCTGATATTTGGCTTGGCAGAGCTAAGTGAACGTGGTGTGCACCCTAGTGCCATACACAGGGGGTGTTAATTGACAACGGAATGATACGTTTTCACCCCGTAACCAGTGTCTTGAACCTTTGATTTTGCCTCCACACTAAAACCGGTTACAGTAGGGAGTTACGTTAGCCGTAGCGTCACGATCGCCTTACAAAACGAGGTTAACCTCCGGTCCAAATTTCACTGTGGGCGGGTGCTCACATTTACCTGATACTCAGTAAAACAGTTTAAATTTTGTTTGAAGCTGCCCACTTATTTACTCATTTACTTGATGAAAATGTATATCTATTCGTCTCGATCCAAACGTCGCAGTCATCGCAGTTCGCTATGCAGAGTTGCGTCCCTTAGCGGTGCCAGGAACCTGTTTTCGAGGGTTCAAGTTCCAGAATGATTATGTTTCTATGTTTGTTGGCACCATAACCATCCTCGTGGGTTTCACCAAAGTGGAAATTACGCCTAAGATATGTATAACTCAGAGCTTTATTCCCACATCAAACTGACTCGCCATGATATAACTACAATACTGTTAAAGGCGGAGTAAAACATACGACTGTAGCACACGGTATTAAGGTTAGACTTACCGGTTACCCACTGCAAGAACTGCATCGCAACCAGCGCCTTAGATAGCACCATTCTTGATCCAAAGGACCGCCTCCGTGGTCTAATGGTACAGCGTCCGCCCGGAGAGCGGAAGGTCCGCGGTTCGATCCCCAGCCGCGTCATACCAAAAGACGTTACAAGATGGTACTTGTTGTTACCCTGTCTGGCGCTCGGCGTTAAGGGGCTAAAACAAGGACTGGTCGGCTCGGAGTCAGAACACTGTGTCTGAGTGGGGTATTCATGTTAAACTGCGGCATGGTATCTCAGTGAGCTAACATTATAAATCGGCATCAGTCCGGACTAGTACAAGCAGCCACACACATACACGTGCATGCACGTCGCTATATAAGTGCAATAATCTTGGACGCGACGTTAAACCCCACTTCACATCATCTTGATCCGAAGATTTCCAATGACTGCGAAATCACTCACAACCGGTATGGAAAACTGACCGGTTACAATTTCCTGTTTGACAATAGAATAAATGCATCAACGATAACTGTTTGTTTAATATAATGCAAATAATAGACAACGATACGAAATCAGTGACATCGCTTCAGCGCAATAGCGCAACACAAGCCCCGCACATTCTTTTATCCACCAATCAGAAAACAGTAGTCCGTTAGTGGGCGTGGCCTACTGTATTAATATATTGTTTGGTTAGCCAATCAGATGCAATTGAATAACTGTCAATCTATTTATTGAAATACAAATATTCATTTCGCGATATTTTTCATCCGACTAGGGTGTTATTTGATTTACAGCTGAGATATTGAAAACCAATGTCATGTGTATTTTTGCAAGAAAATTCCATGTCTATTCTTATCTTGACCTTACCATAGAGTTTTTTTTATTATTAGGATTCTGTTATGTTACTTACAAATCACAACATGATGTCGTTTTAGGTGATTGTATCAATAGAGATTATTACGCCAGTGTTTTGGGATGGTACATATGCTGCATTATGAATACGAAGTGTATTTAGTGGGCCACACATGCGCGGTAACCTTTTATATAAGGATACAATATAATATGATATATAATGACATTCTTAACTTCTATCGCCTTGAAACGTATTCTCATCTCTTACAAACGATACCTAAACGTTGTAAGTTTTCCAGGAATGTAAGCATTAATATATGACGTCCCAAAGCCAATGATAAGTCAGTCGGATTTGACAACAGGCAATGTGGCTTCAACTGAAATTAGACAGTGACGTAACTACGATGTAGACAAAAAGACAATATTGTCCAGTTCATTGTTTTTCAATGCCAGTGATCGCCTTTCGCGTCAATCCGTTTGTCGGTCCGGTTGAGTAAAAGGGAATATTAGCTACTCTTGTCTATGAGACATAAAGACCGCCTCCGTGGTCCAGTGGTAGAGCGTCCGCCCGGAGAGCGGAATGTCCGCGGTTCGATCCCCGACCGCGTCATACCAAAAGACGTTAAAAGATGGTACTTGTTGTTACCCTGTCTGGCGCTCGGCATTAAGGGGCTAAAACAAGGAGTGGTCGGCTCGGAGTCAGTATACTGTGTCTGAGTGGGGTTTTTATGTTAAACTGCGGCATGGTATCTCAGTGAGCTAGCACTATAAATCGGCATCAGTCCTGACAAGCAGCCACACAAACACACACACGTGCATGCACGTCGCTATATAAGTGCAATAATCTTGGACGCGACGTTAAACCCCATTTCACCTCACCTATGAGACATAACGTTTGTCGAGGTTGTCTGGCCTGTCATGACATCACGAAATACAGTCAGATGTCCCACACAGCAACAAAATAAAACAGGGTAAAGACTTGCGGCAAAATGCAACTGTCTAATTCTGGAGTGAGTGAGTATGGTTTTACGCCGCTTTTAGCAATATTCCAGCAATATCACGACGGGGAACACCAGATCTAATTTTGGTAAAAAACTCAAGCCGCAGAGGTCGACAAGACCTTATCAAGATACTGGACAATTTATGTTTCCAAGGTTGACAACATTTGTAGAAGGCCTTACCTACGCCTTGTTGGACACTGATTTCATTACCATATGTTACGTAGTGTTTGGATTTCTCTCCTTTCCTTGTACTGATCTCCTGGACGTTGTTTCCCATTCCCGTTCATACATTCACTGACCTGTATTATTCATGTTTTGATCGAAAACCTAACAGGAATTTCCTGTAAGGGGTCCATACAGATGAGTGTGTTAACATTTCTCCATTCTCCAATATATATACGGATACTGGGTTAAATGCTTTACCCGTTTATATACCTGGTGAGGTGAAATGGGGTTTAACATCGCGTCCAAAATTATTGCACTTATATAGCGACGTGCATGCACGTGTATGTGTGTGTGTGGCTGCTTGTACTAGTCCGGACTGATGCCGTTTTATAGTGCTAGCTCACTGAGATACCATGTCGCAGTTTAACATGAATACCCCACTCAGACACAGTATTCTGACTCCGAGCCGACCAGTCGTTGTTTTAGCCCCTTAATGCCAAACGCCAGACAGGGTAATAACAAGTACCATCTTTTAACGTCTTTTGGTATGACGCGGTCGGGGATATAACCTCGGACCTTCCGCTCTCCGGGGGGACGCTCAACCATTAGACCACGGAGGCGGTCGTTTATATACCTAGACATAATGTTTGCCATGTGCAGCTCAAGCAACACAAAGAATGACACCAACTGCTGTAGCCACAATCTTCTGATCTGAAGGATGCGCATGTTCATCTGTGAAAGCGGGTTAAGACATGCTAATTTCAATACGCTGTACACAGATTTATAGCTGCACTCATTTAACAATTAATTTAATATTTGCGTGATGAAATATCACAAGCACATTTTGGAATAAAAACCTGTCGAAGCGAAATAGTGCAGGCATTTGCATATCGAACTTTGTCACCTACCAACATGTCCAACTAATAGTTCGCGTCTCAAAGTGAGGTATGGTAGAAGTGACAGGCAACTCTCTGGGTGTAAATATACAGTTACTCAAACACAACTTATAAAGCATGTTGTTGGTTGTTGGTTTGTTGTTTAACGCCGCACTCAGCAATAGTCCAGCTATATGACGGCGGTCTGTAAATAATCGAGTCTGGACCAGACAATCCAGTGATTGATATCATGAGCATCGATCCACGCATTTGGGATCGATGACATGCATCAACCAAGTCAGCGAGCCTGACCACCCGATCCCGTTAGTCGCCTTTTACGACAAGCATAGTCGCCTTTTATGGCAAGCATGGGTTGCTGAAGACCTATTATATCCCGAATCTTCACGACTCCACAAAAGTGAAACGTGCCTTGATCTGTGTGTATTATCATATGTGTATCAATAGTATCACAAGGTCAAAGCTATTTAAAGGACAATATGATTGATTGAATAACAGGTCATATTTATTTTCAAATCAGAATAATACAAGAATACCCGCAAACACCATATGAAGTGGTAGGTTTTCTTTGTGTAATATCCGTTTCACATTACTCGAGGTATTCGAATCCCATATAGATCGGGTCATTCGGGAGAATAGTTATTCTTCAATATTTAAGTATGTTTCATCAAAGAGCACACATATTTTTAGGTACAGTAAACTACGTTTATAACGAACACGTACATTTGATTTATGTTTGGAACTGACTATTTCGTCAGTTAGTGCTTCGATACATTCTATCGTTTTCTTTTTAAAGCCTGAGGATAAGTTATTTTACAGCATTTTTGTCAATGCAACTGATGGAGAAATGAGATGATGTAATTATCATCTGTAGCAAGTACTTTAATAGCAGGAGCTTCAGCTATTGATTATGGGACGGTGGGGTAGCCGAGCGGGCAAAGCGTTCGCTCGCCACGCCGAAGGCCCGGGTTTGATTCCTGACATGGGTACAAGGTGTGAAGCCCATTTCTGGTGTCCCCCGCCGTGATATTGCCGGAATATTGTTAATAGCTTCACAAAATCATACTCACTTACCGAGCCATTGATTAAAGTCGTGTTTTACTTTTTACCCCGTTTCTTTTATGTAACATCTGTGATGTTGAGAAGAATGGTTTAACGTTCTAAAACGTGTTATAATGCTGAAATACTGCCGATATGGTGTAAAATGCGAACTCGCGCACTCAAACATCGATTTTAAGCTTCATAAGAGGGGGCAGGGGTGGTCCAGTCGTCTAAAGCGCCGCGATTCGCTGTGCAGAGTTGCGTCCCTTGGTCAGGCCAGAAACCTATGATTGTGGTTTCAAATCCCAGTTCGCCCCGATAATGTTTCTAGGTTTGTCAGCACCATACCCGTGCTCGTGGGTTTCACCGAAGTGGTAAACGTCTGAGACCTGCATCACTTCGGGCTTTCCTCCCACATTAAGCTGACACGCCGTGATACTGGAATACTGTTAAAACACAACTCACTCACTCACAAGAATTTTTTTCAGAGATACATGTAAGCGTGGCAAAGGTCGACCGACAGTAAACCAGTGAAGAGTGACACGGTCATACATACAGGACAACGCAGTGAAGCATTTCAATCGGTAATCGGATATAGGGAGTACCAAGGCATTACTGCCCTTTATACAATTATTTGATCTGATATTTTGATGGTATACTCACTCGAGTGTTCATTGTCATAAATCGTTGCACATACACGTCAATACATATAAAACGTGAACGCAAGGGAATTATCAGTCTCTATTACCTGTAGAAACAGATTCCATTGGGTGTTAAAGGCAAAACGGTTGTGACACGTTAAAAGCACGTTAGGACAGCGATACAATAAGTTTAAACGTCCGTGTGAAACCTTAAGCTATTTCAGCTGATATTCAAACCTAGTTTGCCTGTACAGAATCACAGATTATTCAGTTTCTTAACGAACAAAACGGTGTCAAGAACGAGTTCATAACCTTGGCTACAAAACCGATGATACCAGGTGTTCGTGATAATGGATCACATGGTCTAAAGTGCTTTCATTATTCGAGGGAATTATTTCCTACACTATAAATATTTAACATATACACTTGCCATGTGTCCGAATGAATAAATAGTGTCATCGTAATGGAAGAAATGTGACCAATTAATCATTTAGATATAATACGAATATATAAGAAATGTCAAAGAAAATATTTAAGAGATATTTTCCAAATGAATGACATGATCAATTTCAAGGTATAATGTTAAGCTATTGTGGGGAAAATATGACATTATATCAGTTGAACGTCTTAGCATCACTATCACGCTGACTGTGGCATACATGTAGGCTCGGTCTTTTCTAGGGTGAGTGAGTTGGGTTTAACGCCGCTTTTAACAGTATTCCAGTTATATCACGGCGTTTCAGCTTAATGTGGGAGGAAAGCCCGAAGTCATACAGGTCTTAGACGTTTAACACTTCGGGGAAACCACGAGCTCGAGTATGGTGCTGACAAACCTAGAAACATAATCGGTTCGAATCCCGGTTCACCCTGATTATGTTTCTAGGTTTCGAACACACAATCATGTTTCTGGCGTGCCCAAGGGACGCAACTCTACACAGCGAATCGCGGCACCTTAGAAGACTGGGCCACCCGTGCCCCTTTTTTCAGATATATAGATGACTATGTCAAGATAAATTAGTAATTTCAACTCATCTACCCACAATAGAAGGGTTTGTATTTGTTTTGTTTGTTGTTTAACACTGCACTCAGCAATATTCCAGCTATATGAAGGCTGTCTGTAAATAATCGTGTCTGGACCAGACAATCAAGTGATTGACAACATGAGCATTAATCCACGCAGATAGGATACGGTGACATGCATAAACCAAATGAGCGAGCCTGACCACCAGACCCGTTAGTCGCCTCGTACGACAAGCATAGTCACCTTTTAAGGCAAACGTGGGTTGCTGAAGACCTATTCTATTCCGGATCTTCACGACTCCACAGAGAAGGAAAGCAAACACACAACTAAGAAGTCTTCCTGGTGTCATGTCTGCATCTGGGCATAGAACTTCAAAAAAGATATTCGATAAGAGGAGGATTTTTATCTTGTTGTTTCCTTTCATGTTGATAACATTTATATACCATCAGGTCCAGCTCGTGGCGTTTACATTTCTCAACTGCTCATGGACTTTTACGTGTACATTTTATTCAACTATCATGGAAGTACACAGCTTGCCTACGGACAAGATTCTACCGCCTAAGTTCGGTTACTCTATTCAAGGACTTGTATGTTAGACATTCGGATGAAATTACTAAATATGACATGTCACTTGTCAACGTGAGCTGCGCTGCTATACCACAATATATCATGGATCCTATATCCTATAAATGTAAATATGACTTTGAACAACTCCTTACTGGCACTTACGTTTCTTTTTAATATTGTATGTGTCGGGTTTTACATTTTTTCAATACACCCAACCTCATGACTGTAAACAAGTGTTTGGTGGCATAACCTCACTCCGTTGGGGTACCATGACATTATGACCAACCGATCCTCACTAGACTGGGGGTACTGAGATCTGTTCTGCCCAGGAATCAGTATTTCAGTGTTTTTATTTTGTTTATATGTGTACCTATTTTTTAATTAATAACATTATAGAATAAACTTGTATGGCACCTTTTGATCTGTAGATTTACATAATTTGAGAGAAAAAATGTTTTGTTGCTTCATAATATACCAATCCATTGCATAGGTTAGTTTTCATATTTGAAATGGTTTCTCAATTGTCTTTTTAGTGTAATCCGACCGATAGCATTGAAGTCAACCCATGCTGCGTCACTCAACACCTTCGCTAACACCACAGAGTTTTCACCAAATTGTCCAGTTTTCTCCTAAGCCTTGGATTTCCAACAAAGCAAGAAACACCACCACAAATTTTCATGCATTTGCATTTATATGACATCCTTGCAGCTACAGACATCTTCACATTTTATGTACATATAATACAAAACAGAATACTTAACAAAAAAATGACATAATCAAGTGAAACACATTACAATCAATATCCTTGTCGATATCTACAAATAATTTCCTTAACCTGGAGATTTGGAGTCATTCAGACTAATTATTTTCATTACAAAAAGCCTTGTGCAATCCAATGAAATATATATTCATGATAAGTATTTCATACAATATTGAATAATTTAGGAAAAAACAATGTTTTATTTCTTGATTTATTTACCTATCACAAACAGCTAACATCAATGCAATTGATGGAATTCTAAGTCACAGAAATTATATAATGCTGTAAAAAAAGTAAAACTTCTCAATTTAAAACTTCAATAGAATCCTCATCCCTGCATTCCAGATGCAAGTTTAACAAAGAGTATCACAGCTACTTGGTCAAAGTGTTGAGGTTTCTTCATGTCTTGGCCGAACTCTTCCTCCTGTTCGACGTTCTTTTCTGTTTTGCCTGTAACTCCGCCTCCAACCTTCTCTGTTCTTCCTCTGCTTGCTTCCTCTGAATGTCCGAAACTTGCTCCAGAAACTGCAAAATATAGAATTAAGATGATGGTTATATGAAAGGCAAACCTTTGTTATTTTGTTTGTTTCCAGATCAACCAACCAGATGGATGGATTAAAAGATGAAACATTTATTCACCAAAATCACACTGCTGTCTCAGCATGCTCAACTACAAATTTGTATTTAGGCTGCATAAAAAAATGTATGTCAGGGATATTGTTCTCAAAATTGAGGAGGTAGGTATCCTTTTTCATTTTTTATTCAACTCAAAAGTGATGAGGGATTAGAAATTGTCTACATGAAGCTTATCTCCATGCTAGGCAGCCACATGTTGTGTCAACCTTTACAAATCATCTTACAGCCAGCAGACATAAATGGTATGCACAATGTTGAAACTGGGGTAATCGTTGCTTGTCACGTGTCATGTTTTCATAGGAGTCCAGATTCACTTTGACATTTCGCACTCCGCGGATAGGCGTGGTCGTGTCTGGCGACGTCGAAATGAATGTGAAGCCAATGTCAACCTGAGACCTCATGACAGATTCGACGGTGGATCTGTTCTGGTGTGGGGTGGCATCACTTATGATGACTGAGCGAAACCCCACTCCATATCGTGCAAGAAAGGGTCACTGGAAAGTACTATCTGAACAACACACTGACACCCTTTGTTGTCCCATTTGCAAGGCGTTTTGGTTGACGTTCAGGACGACAATGCCCATGCGTACCGTGCACAAATTTTCTATGCTCACCTCCAGCAGCACAACATCAATAGAATGCCCTGGCCAGCAATGAGCCCAGACCTTTACCCCATTGACCATGTCTTGGCCACGACAGGGAGACGTGCGTTAACGTCATAGGCCATGGACGACATTGACTGAACTTGGTCAGGCGCTGCAGCGGAGTGGGACAGACTCCCTCAAATCACCATTGGGAGACTCATAAGCAGTATGCCTCACCAAGTGAATGAATGTTCTACAAATCGTGGCAGTATTAAGCACTACTGATCTGAAAACGTCAACTTTGAAATTTTCCATCTTACCCTTATTGTCCTTCAAGATCTGTGGTCATCTACTGTCAAACTTCACTACAGGTTGTAATGTATTCCCAATTCGTTCATTATTATCATACGACTATTTCTAAAAAACTAATATCTCTTACCATTTTGGTTTTTGCAGTTATTTCGGAGTATCCCCAATTTTTTTTTAAGAGTAAATACAGTCAAGTCTCGTCTCCAACAATCGGCTTTATCCGACACAAACGATGGGAACTGATTAAATCAGTGCTATTTAGACCTGTTAATCCGACAGTCTCACACTCCAACTCCGACACACCTAATTTGCAACGAATTGCTGAAATCACTCATTAATCAGTGTCGTTAATCCGACATAGTGGTCATCTGCCCGCGAATACACAGCCCCGTGTTTTGATGCGAGACGAGTCGGCAAGTAGCTGCATATTTCAACAGCTGCAGAGATAAACTAGCTTAACAATATAACATGCCTAGATTACCTCAATCTCATTAAAATTGGATGCAAGTTCTCGCTGCCGCTGAGGACATCCCATTACCATGATTACAGGTCACGTCAGAACGACCTTTCGCGAACTTGGACCGACCAATGAAATTACTAGCAGGAAGTCGACATTAGCCACTAAGAAAGCAGCTTTACTAATTTCAAATTAGCGACTTCCATTCTAGACTTTGCTTAAAAAAGTATTTTGAATCAGTCATACAGTCCGTAATAGTAGTTTTGTTGATACTACCTAATTTCGTTTATACTACATACTCATTACTCCGACATAAATATATGCAACCAACAATGTCGGATTAACGGGACTTGCCTATATACAGTATAATATATTTTCTGTATTAAGTTCCCTGCTCCAATAAGTACTGCTCCAATAATGCACAACTTCTTGACAAATCTTTAAGAAATCTGTATTGCCACGGTACTGACTGAAAATTTACATGACAGACAATATTTTCTCCTCACACAATACAGCAGCACAGGAGTATATATTTGCCTGTTAACTATTGTCAGAAAGGTGTTAGTTTCATCATGGTTTGAACTATTGTTGTTCACTACCGTTTGTTTGATCTCCGAAAACAAATTTGACTCATTGTGCATGGTTTAAACACGCACCCACTCTGTCAATTTTTGTTTTGTTTTGTGTTTGTTTGTGTGTTGTCGCCGCATTCAGGAATATTCAAGCTGTATGACAGTGATCTGTAAATAATCCAGTCTGGACCAAACAATCCAGTGACTGACATCATGAGCATCAATTACACAATTGGGATATGATGACATACATCAACTAAGTCATCGAGCCTGACCACCCGATCCCGTCAGCCACCTCTTACAGCAAGCATGGGTTGCTGAAGAAACTATTCTCTACCCGGATATTCACGGGTCTCAATTGGTCAATTCCAAAGGCGCTTACTATGGTGAATACGGTATATAGACATACAAGTACCAACCCCACACCCTAACACACACAGACACACCACGCCATAATATCGATATTGTCTTACCTCAGGTTTCCTTGTACTTTTCTTGTCTATGAATTCCATGAAAGCATTGGAGCCATGCATCTGGGATAACTCCAGGTTCTGGGGAGACACAAAACATAATCATCATAAACATCTGATGCCAGACAGGGGGCACGGGTGGCCCAGTCGCCTAAGGCGCCGCGATTCGCTGTGCAGAGTTGCATCCCTTGGGCACGCCAGAAACCTATGATTGTGGGTTCACCCCGATTATGTTTTAGGTTTGTCAGCACCATACCCGTGCTCATGGGTTTCACCAAAGTGGTAAATGTCTGAGACCTGCATCACTTTAGGCTTTCCTCCCACATTAAGTTGACACGCCGCGATATAACTAGAATAATGTTAAAAGCGGCATTAAACCCAACTCACTCATTCTGATACCAGACCCAGGTCACATGTTCTGCAGAACAACTAGGGTTTTCAGGGTAATACATCCACATTGCTAGAATAAAGAATGTATTGTGACTCAATGTATGTGGTGGAATTTCGTTAGTAAGACATTTGTTTGCAAGGAGATGAAATATATAATCAGTATCATAATCATAATCATAACGCGTAACCATATCACAGTCACATTCTTTTACTAACTTCAGTCAAAGATGACAATAATTGGTCTTTGCAAATACAATTTGCTCTAAACTAGCCTTAACATTATGATCTGATATCATTGTACACAGACGTTACAGTTTAACACTTGACCATCAACGCATAGCTGGATCAGTCCAGCAGGATATTTGCAGGGATGGAGCTTCAGACCAAACATGCAGTGTGATAAATCTAACATTTTTGTCTGTGTGACAGTTTCGTGTATGACATACCAAATCATGGCTTTTCTTCTTGGCCTCAGACATCTCCTGGTTCTTCAGTTCCTTGGGGTCAATGAGCGGGTCGTCCCACTGCCGCCTCTGCCATGATTTGGGGTTTAGGTACCACGCCCCGTATTTGAATTTCACCCAGCTGGGCTCATACATTCCCGAGTACAACTGTCGACAAAACACAAAACATCAAAACTGACCAAGATTTTCAATTTGTTCAGTTCAGTGGGGGGAGGAGGGGGTGGCAGCATTTGGAGAGATAAAAAAAACATGAACATCCCCAACTGTAGATCCACCATATTATTTTAGAGAAAAAATTCTTCTATATGTCACAAAATCTCAGATCTTCAGTTCTTTAACTCAAATACGATACCTTTCTCCTGATGATCTGATTACAAGGAGTTTGCATCAAGTGAGCTTTCTAATCAGCCAATCAGTGTTTAGGCTTCTAAATTTTCAGTACGGGCCAGTGAAGCATTCAAACCATCACACCTGATTTTCGTATCTCAAAAACAAATTTAATTGGGGAGTTCCAAATGTAAAAAATAAAGCTGTGATATTATAACGTTGTGGATATTTTATACATTCTGTTGTTTCATGTACACCTACACCCAAAATGGAGTACTATCAAGGATATACTTTTTTTTGCAAAGATCAAAATTTCAGAATTGAGGTGGCAAAGAAATGAAACGAATTCATTTTAGAAAACTGACATTTGATAGGTCCAAGAACCTTCACATCATTTATTATAATTAAGTGGTCAAAGCTGATGTATGATGCAACCTTGAATGGAGGTGTCCTCAGATCTCTAAGCAGCAAGGTATTGCATCAGAGACAAAGATTTGAGCTAAATAAAATTGTATATCCCACACACTCATATACATGATATAGAACTCCATCCATGCCATAAAGACATTGAAGGACATAGGTCAATGCAAGAGATTATTTGTTTTATACCATGGCCTTTTTTTTCAAATTTGAAATGTTTTGGATATTGGTCAGAAGTGTTGAAGATATAAAGTATTTCATTGATTAAGCAGCCTTTGTAGAACAAACAAGCAGTCTCCGGGAACCCACCCATTTCTTCTCATTCTCCTCAGACTGAGGCAAGTTCTTGTTGGTCTGCTGCTGTGCAGGAGCTGCAGCTGACATTCTCAGCTCCTGTGGTACGTTGGTCAGCTCCACGACATGTATGGGAACAGACAGAGCTGGCTTGGTCTCATAGCCGCTGGCGAACAGGCTTGTGATTGTGGACTCCTCGATGTTGTTGGATTCCCCGCCCAGACTCGCCACCCAATTGCAGAAGTCTGTCGTCACATTGGTGATGTGCTCTTCCTGGTGACACAAGGGAGATAATCAAATAAAACCATTCTCCAGCTATTTGCATCTAAGGGCAACCCTAAACAACACGCACAGTCAAGGAGACAGAAAATATCTGGCACAGACTTTACCTAAAAACTGAAATTGTGTTTTGGCAACAGAAGACTCTGTTGTTATACCGTATTTACCATAATAAGTGCTAGAAGTTGGTCCAGATGAGCTTTAACTAGAAACAAACACATCAAAGGCAGATCCAGGTGTACGGTGCAGCAAGTCAAGAGGTGAACAAACACACAGGACAGAGAGACAGGAAAGTAGAATTTCATAATTAGTTTGTTTGTTTGTTGTTTAACACCGCACACAGCAATATTCCAGCCATATGACAGCAGTCTGTATATAATCGAGTCTGGACCAGACAATCCAGTGAATCACATGATCCAGTGATTGACATGATGAGCATCGATCCACGCAAGTGGGATACAATGACATGCATCAACCAAGTCAGCGAGCCTGACCACCTGATCCCATTAGTCACCTCTTAGCATACATGTGTGTTTATATCTTTAAGTATTCTACCAACTCTACAAGCCAGTGAGACAGACAACCTACTTGAGAGGGTGAGCTGGACCTCTTCTCGTTGGTTTTCCTCTTGTCTTTCTTCTCTTCCTTACGAGGCAGCCAACGGTAGGGGTTCCGCACAGCCCCCTCCTCCAGCCTGAACAGACAACACACTCATCTCAAATACCAGTGTTCCCGTTTACCAGTAATTACCAGTTTTTTTACCAGTAAAATTAGGCTTCGACCGGTAATTCATGTGACTGCCAGTCCCTGTGGACCGGCAAATAAAGTACCTCATAAATCTGTATAATTCATATAAGCATATTTTTCAAATGAAGTCACCTGTCTGTTACCATCATGGTTCCCCTTGTCGAGTTTTGGTGCAAGGAAACAACATTTCACTTTGCTTCAAAGTTTAAAATATGTGCAGTGACTTCATCTTGAAATCTTACCAAAAAAAGAAGAGAAAATTGTGTGTGAATGATGTGTAGATCTAACTAAGTTACTTCAGAGATGAAGTCATTGCATTGAACATGATGTTGAAAGAATTATAACCAGGTAATTTTCATATGTTTTTTTATTTGTTGAAAGTTGGGACTGACAAAAATTAGGGGGGACTGGTAATTTTTAGAGTTCCCAGTCCACCAGGACTGGCAGTTTCAGGAGCCAGCGGGAACACTGAATACCAACCTGATTTCCAACCAACAGCAAAAAGATACAGACTAATAATGAAGAAACATATTCACCAGCTCCTGATTAGAGTCAGTGAATGTTTAACGTTAGTTCTAGCAATATTCCACCCATATATCATATCATGCTGACACATGAAGCAGAAAAGTAATAACACTCATCGAGATGTGTCCACAGGGCTTTGAACAGAATCTCAGTTCTGTCACAATCTCAGCTTAATGTGGAAGGAAAGTAAAAAATGAGTCAGTTTGTAAATTAGAAATTGTTACCTCACTGGTGAAATCACAGACCACTGTAAGTTAGCCAGGGATCAAGCACCATATGATTTATGCGTATATTGTAAAGGCATGGTTCTCAAAAGTGACCCTTGACTTCACGAAATCTACAGAATTCTGTGGACAATTCTCATCCCTGAAGCCATGAGCACAGGTGCTGACAGACCAAGGAATGCAAATTGTGCAAATCTGAGACTTAAACCCATGACCATGGTCTGTGTCAAAACTGAATCTACTAGCATCAAATTGGCCTTTAGCACCATTTTCAGACAATTATATGTTACTATACAGATTATTATTAGCTAATGGCTAATGGCTAAACTCGCAGACTGTGTCCATTAAACTTGGCAGCTGAAGGTGATGTTAAATGTGTATGAAGAGGCCGTGGATCAAACCACTGACCTTCCACTCTCCGGAAAGACGCTCTATCCTCTTGCGTTCAGAAACTTTCTGTCTAAAGTGACCATGGCTCTCATATTTTTCAGAACAAACTTTCTCTCAACAGTGATCCTGGTGTGAACTTCACATCCTGATCACAATCTAGGGGACATTTGCAGAAAAGTAGTGAAGGCTTGTGAGAATTCACTGCATCAGTCAAGCTAATTGTGTCTAGCTTTGAGTTTTCCCTTCAAATATGGAGGCCATCTGGCAGCTAAGGGAAGCAACTCTGTGGTCCTTTCATGACAATTCCCTGCAGACTACAGTACAACACATTCCATGACTCACTCTGTGTCCACTCTTTCAGGTGTAGCTGGCTCTGCAGACCTCGGATGCTCTTCCTCTGGTAAACTCTGAGTAGACACTGACCCCTCCGTGACCAGTGACCCTTCCTCCGACCCCATGTTCATTTCAGGGTCAAGGATGTCAACAATGTCTTCAAACAGCTGTTGATGTAAAGATGGTAGGAAACATTTCAACCTTGATATTTTTCAGAACATTCAGATTGGTATGTAATTACCGTTCCAAAGTAGTAAGGGTGCTGCTAATCCCACCCAAGTGTAGCAGTGAACTGACTATATGATCATGATGACTGGAATTGAAATCATGAACATCACAATTATTTACAAAATGACATACCGGGATATATGTGCTATAGTATAATTATTATTATATTTCCGTATCCCTGGAATAATAAACTACTAACAAAATATATGGGAACTAATTATTTGAATGTAGCTTATATATATATGTGTACATTTACAATACTGTAAATGGCTGTGCATCTGATTGCAACATCTAATCACAATGAAATTTCACATCATGCATGAACACCATGTGATGCATGTGCACACAGAAACCAAAGTGTGTGTGTAAGCAAGGATTATATCCTACCTAAATATTATCCTGTGGTAGTTTTACTCTAGAGTATAATATCCTACCTTAGTGCCACACTGGTATGGGTTTAAATTCACTTGGGAGAATCATTCTGACACTAGAGAATTTCATCCCCGGGATAAAAAATAAGGTAGGATAATATTCACTCTTACATGTGCACCTATAGGGGAACTCACAATCACTAATGCAACTGAGCTAAGCACACGCTTAAAAATCCCTCAGAGACAGTATCTCAAAGATCAGACAAATTGGCGGACTGAGTGAGGACATCAATATCCCAAGTTGCCCGAGTGTTTGGCAAATCAAAAAGTGTAAAGGATGGGGTTGGGATGAGACCAGGACCCTGTCATACCTGTCAACTCTCACGCATCTCGCGTGAGTCTCACGCATTTATCACCTATGTCACGCTCACACGCAAGGTTGGGAAATTCTCACGCATTCATATAAAATGTAGATAAAAATATAATTTTTCAGAATACATGCTCTCTAAGGCCATTAAAATGGTCTTAAAATCATTCAAAACCAGTCACTCATTTAGACATCCAGGGGTTGACAGCTATGCCCTGTTCCACAAAGCGATCTGACTGTCATAAACCCATGTTAAACTATGGGAGTTACAGTTGTCTTAGTGCTAAGATTGCTTTGGGAATGGGACTGTGGGCATGGCAAGACTGAAAAATTGACAACTAGACAAGATCATCTGATTATAAAAATTCCACAAAGTGAAAGATTCAAATCTGCTTCTGTTATCAAAGGCAAGGCGTCCTGTGAAGGGTGTGACCCGGGTACCCACCCCCCTATTACCCGACCCTACTCGGGTACCCGCTGTAGGTATCAAGAGATAGGTACAAAATGTCCGATTGGGAAACGTTTGACCATACTCCTGTCAAAATGTATTTAGATACAGGTATAAAATTATCTTGTCATGCATACACTGAAGTTGACTGAAGTTTTATCTTTATGCAAACATATAAAGTCAGGAGGAATGTGTGCATAGTCAGAAAGAAATGTGAACATTTATCACTTATAGTGGAACCAGAGAGTTCTAGATAATTTTTGCCATTAAACAATATAATCACATGACTAACCACGGGTCTGGGTAGTTCTGTGGGTACCCGGGTCCTACTCAGTACCCATCCGACCCGAGTACCCGAGTTACCCGTCCCAGCCCTAGTGTGACCCTAACAAGTTACCATATTAAAAAGATAGGGTTCGGCTTGATAACACCAGGGATTGGCTGTACGCCAATTAGCTTTACAGCCTGTTTACAGATGGATCAATGTTTTGCTTCCGCCACAGATGGCAGAAAACACTGTTGGCCACATAGCGGCAAGCGGTATGGCAGGGCAACCATTCTTGACCATGATTGTTATGGGGGCAGTGAACATGACAGGTGAACTGATTTGGTTATTGTGAATTAAGATTTGACTGGCCAGTGACATGCTGACGAGATTGTGTGTCCTGTCATTGTTCCATTTGCTCAAATTATCGGCCAAAATTTTGAACAGGAAGATAAATGCTCAGCATCGTGCCCAGGTTGTCACTGATTATTTCCGACTAAAAGCCATATGGTCATTGGGCTGACCGCTAAGTCCCCTGACATAGCTGATAAAGCTGAGACTCATGTACCAATGGTACTAAAAGTCAAATATTCAAAGATGGGACATTAAATAGCATTTGAAATGTGAATCAGTTTCCATTTTACAACAGGTAGCCTTTTGCTTATGTCAAAGGTAAATGAGTGTAGCGATCACACAAAAGGAACAATAATATTAAAACCTAATAATATTATTGTCATAATAAAATCTTCTTTTGAAAAACGAGATATGGATATTTTTCATTTCTACAATAAAACAAAGAGGCATATAGGTAAAGAATAATTTTCATGTGTAACCATGGTAAAAGTTACAACTATGGGACAGGAGCGTCATATATTGTAAAAGAGGTCACTAACCTCTGGTGGTACACTCTCCTCCAGATGAGGATAGAGAGCAAGTGGATGCTGCAGCAGGCCATACTCTATCTCCTCGATGTGTTCTCTCCTCTGCTGCTGTTGGGGGGTGATCTGAGAGTAACACACTTGGTACTTGTCGAAGCGGTTCCGCATGGCTGGCTGCTTGACCTGAGAGACATTCTCGCTGCTGCCCGTCACATTCGGACCAGGCCCCTTCTCAGCCTGGTTAGAACGTAGTTCAGGGTTAGGAATCAGTTTGGAATTTACCTTTGGTCATTGTGTTAGCGACAAGTACTTATTGTCAAAGGGAGATCACTCTAGATACCAGAAGTGATAACGAAGGTAAACACTTGTCAGGAAGTTGGGGAAATTCTAATGCTGCTATGTAACTGGTAAGTGATGGGAAGTGATCGGATATTTGGTACATGTTGTCCTTAACCAAATCCTTTCGTCAATCTTAAGAGTTCTTTATTTAACATGTTTAAGGCAACCTCATATAAGTGTCCATAGATTACAACATATACACAATATCTATTAGGCTAAAATAAATAAAAGTCTTGGTTCTCAGGCACCACCCGCATCATCATAAAGTCTGCCGCACATTTCATTTGTATTTCCATTTTCAAAAAAAATTAAAAAATCCTAATACTTAAAAACAAAGCAATCCAATAAAATATGCAGTTACTCCCATTTACATGCACACTGCTTTACTGTGCATTTCGTGTTATGGTCATGGTGGCAGTAGGAGTGTGTGTGCTTGTTTATGTAGGGAGGCCCTTTCCAAGGTTGATAGTTAGATACAAGTTTGAACAAGTTATAACTCCCCCCCCAAAAAAACACCCTCCCGCACTACATTTTCAAAAGTCATTGCCTGAGAAACAGTTCTTATATTTTTTTAAGCCTTAGAACATATCATGCACGAGCCTAAGTGTTAGATAACCTTTGGCAAAGATGAAATTTCCTATTTTGATAAACTGCCTATACGTTATCTGCATGATCTGAATGAGAGCTGGGACAACAGGATGTTTCCCTGCTATGGTGATCATGGTAATACCTTTATAAAAACCTCTCCTTCAACTGCAGGAGGAAGTCCATCTCTGAAATCATCAAGGCCGTCTTTGAGAAACACCCAGTTCCTTCCCACAAGGCTCTTGGATGTGTCATTTGGCTTCAGTGACTTTATAAACTTGGTTCTTAGTCTCTCCTTGTACCTATTTTATAAAACAGAAGTTATAAAATCAGTACCACAAACAAGAACAATACATGAGAATGAAAGTCGGGTTTAACAATAGTCCAATTATTTCCCGGCGTGTCAGTTTGATGTGGGGGGAAAGCTCAAAGTGATGCTGGTATGAGACATCTACCACTTCGGTGAAACCAACAGGCACGGGTGTGGTGCTGACTAACCTAGAAACATAATTGGGATGAGGCGGGATTTGAACCCATAATCATTGTTTTTTGTGTGCCCAAAGGACGCAACTCTGCACAGTGAATTGCGGCACCTTAGACGACTGGACCACCCATACACAATAGGATACATGACAACTTAACACTCGACATGCTGAGGAAACATTTCAATCATATCTTGGAGGCGGAGTGGGCAAGCAGTCACAAGCGCAAGGCTAGCAAGCACCAGGTGCTGAGCTCGTATCCCACTAATGTTATTAAGCCATGCGACCATTAATGTTTACAGGTCTTTACAGTGTTGTCAATACTCCTAGTGTACAGTACATTCAACAAAGAGCAATATGTACAACATAAAATTAATTTATTTGTTTTGGCATAATTATAAATTAATCATAAATACATCATAAAAACGCATTTTTTGTATGTTGATTCTGCTTCTAATTTTGGATATTATTAGTTCAAAGTTCATTTTGCTCTAAATACATTTTTTAATCTATTTCATATAATACAAAACACTTCAGAAATATGTACAATATAAAATGAATTTATTTGTTTTGACGTAATGTATTGTAACCTACGTATACACAGCACGATATTAATTTATAAAAGAATGTTAAGAACATAAGAAATCAACATCAAATGTCAAAACTACATACATCTATAAAGTTAGAATTAATCTCAGAAAAAGGTTCTGCTGTAAGTTGCAGTCTGGCTATTTGAAGTTTGCCAAAAATGAGCTTGAATATATATACTCAATACCAAATGGCACATCATGGCAAATATGTTACACATTTTATATTCTACATCATTAAGTGTTTTGTTTAACATAAAATAGATAAAAAAAATGTGTTTAAAGCAAAATTAACTTTGAACAAATAAAATCCAAAATTGTAAAAGGGCAAAATAGCTGTGAAAGCTCAATTTGTGATGGAAGCATGTCTCAATAATGCCACTTCTTTTAGAATCATCCAGTCTGGTTCTTGCTATAGAGGTGCTGTTGCTGCGATGTAACAAAGTCAACTTTCTGCAAACTTGCCATGTTTGCGACAAATTCAGATATCTCTGACAATATATGCAGAATTTGGTAAAAACATGTAAATTGAGAAAGCTCACTATTATGGTAAGAAGCTGAGATAGAACATACACATTTGAGATGTCTTCATCATCAAATGGTTCATTAGTAAAATATTTACGGGTAGAACACAAAACAATATAGGATCCTATTGTTTGAGTAGATTAATTATCTTACCAATTAATGTCATTATTTATTTAATCTTAAGTATACTCGGACCCCATGGTACCGCGGCATTCATCGTATCGCGGCATTTGTGATTTCCGATAGTTCACGCGGGACACGCCTCTTAGCGGCTGTCTATTAATGCAAATCGGTAACCAGGAAGTGTTCACTTCGTAAACAATTTCTATTTCCTCGGAATGTTCCGTCTGCTGTAAGTAAGGAGTTATTAATCCGTTGATACATATTTCTGGCATCTGTTGTAATATTGCCTTACCCCCATCTATCAATGGCCAACGATATAACCCGCAGTTCCCCAAGTAAACTTTCTCTATCGACCTGAACTAGATCATATGCATATTCATGGAGACTAATGAGGTAACGGAAGTTATGTAGTCCGTACATTTTTTCCCGCTCTGTGCCCAGAATCTATTGGAAGATCATAAGGGCCATAATGCCAAACTTAGAAATACGTTCTTCACTAGTAACCAAAAGATAAATACATACATTGGGCATACTAGGAGTGCTTTTTATATATTTATTGTTGACTTTTAACATTTTTCCATTTTGTGACAAATTATTGTCATCCAATTTTTTTTATAAACGATCTTAGAATATCATTTCTGATATTTTGTTTTTGATTTTTAAAATACTTTTCTCTGACTTTTCTGTAAACATGCATTGAATACCTATTACAGATAACAAATTTTGAATTTTACTTGTGCTGTCTTTGCACTTGTCAGGACAAATCACTGATGTCTGGCATGATCATACCAAGTGGTTGGTAGAATTATGTCCTCTTTTTGTCCAATTCGGACCTCCATACACAAGTTTTCTCTGTACCGCGATACGATGGAGTTCCCTCCCTTGTCAAAATGAGCGCGAGGCCCGGCTTTTACTCGGAGCTACTGATGTAAATAATGAATTTTTATCAGTAAAATATGCATTGTTTGATCAAATAAATGACATCTGATATAGAGAACACGAATAATCATAAAGGTTAGTGAGTGCATTTTGTTCCGTTCAGCGTACATGACAAGTACCGCGATACCCTGAGGTTGCAGGCTATACAGATTTAAGTGTATTAAGCCATCTCTACTCCACTGTCGAACTGGGATTTTTTTACAAATGGGCAATGGCTATTTGTTTCATGTTTCTAAAATAGGGGCATGTGACAGTGTGTCTATTTGAAAAAACTGGGACATAAAGCCCAAGCTGCAGAAATGCAGATAAATGACCCTTCATGCATTTGTATTGTTTAATTTGATTTAGCCAGGAAATTAGATATCAAAGCAATAATTACATAATTAAATTATCCATCTATATATAACATACATGCAAGCTCTAAAACGACAAGGTTGAAAGGAATCTTGTATAATTTAATAAATAAAACAAGAAAATAATTTACACTCAAGCATCATGAGGCTGACAACCAGAGATGCTGAAGCACTCGTGAATACGTCGGATCCAAGTCAAGCCCACAAGCAAAAATAATGATTTACCCAAACATGTCATATGCTCACAATGAAAATGTTTTACCATGTCTGATGTTGTATCTTTTTATCTTTTTGGGTATCGACAAGGGCTAGGTCATATTTCAGTTCAGCCATCGTCAGTTGTGTACTCCATCAGCCATTTGTTTACTGCCTGTTCACTGAAAACCGGAACTTGGCAAAGTTGAAATGTAGTCCTTACGGTTTTTAAGCACTTCGTTGGTATTCTATGCATACAATAAATATTTTTAATGTCCGCCCGCTATTAAACAATGTAATTTTATATCCTCATTCATATTTATATCATAATAGACGTTTCTTCTTTCAAAAATACGATGCAAGTAATGTGTTTCCATAACAACAATTCATCCACCACTACTTCCGGTTAACTTTTCAACCAGAGTCTTGTTAATGCGCAAAACAAATTATACGCGCACCATTTGCATCGTAGACGGAGCCAAGTCTAGTATTATCGTATCGTGACCATGCACTTCCGTATTTTCGATCACTCGCTCAACATGGTGTAAACAGCTAGTAATGTAAGTCACACGCACCTGCCAGGTGTTTTGTTATTTGTAGTGCTGTTGTATTTTCACTCTTTTAGATGCGGAGGTCCGATGCGATAAATCTGACTCATGGATTTATTTGATTCTCAACTCAGTGCCCTTGGGAGGCAAACTGAGTATTACTAATACTACATTACGTCCTCTCTCCTTTATTGCTCCTGTTATTAGTGATATACAAGTTACCTCTTTAAAGCCATAGCATAAGTTATAACTAAATATTGTATATTATCATGATGATGTTACACTACACATGATGCCTGATTATTAGGAACACATAATTCCGGGATTTTTTTTAACTGTTAATACTTAGCACCTTGAAGCCCTACCTGTGAGAAGCTCAATCTTCAGTAGCTGTTTACGCTCCCATGGCAATTGTATTTAGAATTAAGCTGCATGTATTACTTCAATTATGTCTTCTTTAGTCAAATAGATAATTTTTCACCTATTAAATATTAATAGTCCATAAAAAAAAATAAAAAAATAATAAAAGTCCAGTTTCCACCCTTGCCGAACTAGGCTGGAATTAATCCGGTTTGTAAACTGTCGTGCAGATCTCGGTTGATTGCAGGATTTACAAAGCATGTGCACCGCCAACTCACTGTCAACAGATATTTTCCAAACCTTTTCATGTTTTTAATCAAGGTGCTCGCATGATTTAATGCACTTCGCATTGTAAGACCCGTTTTATCACAATATAGATCTTGATTATCGATCAGATTGTCTTGACTTGGCTCCGCCATTTTAATTGAAACAAATGCAAGTGATGGAATCGGATTGGTCCATAGGCATGATAGGAGAGGCTCAGAAGGGACAGAACTCATAATAACCACTGGTGGCACTACGATCGAGCCCAGGAATTCCAGCCTATTTCAGCAAGTGTGGAAACTGGACTTTTAAAGTCAGTTAACTCTCTTGCCTCGGGAGGATGATTAAAGAGGGATTGATCGCAATCTTATTTCGGAATACACATTTATTCTCAGAAACTATGAATTTGAACAAATAGAGTTGGAGCTTCATTGAATATGATAAAAGGCATCTTCTCCAGGCAAGCGTGTCCACCAGCCTATATCAAATCCTAATTTTTACCTTGATACCACATCAAGGCCACTTTTCTAGACTCGACCCTCGCGTAGAGTTGTCCCCCTTGTAATGAAAACGCAAAATATCCAATCAGATTGCTATTCTTAACTCGCATAGCTTCACAAAGATTGCGATTACCATAGGCGACCACCTAGTCGATCAGATAACGAAGACATTTATGTTTCATCCTTGACACAAATATGTAGGCAATCGTTGAAGTGTTTTACAGATCAAAAAGGCGAGTCAACAAAGACAGGCAGTGGTAAATCGCTTTCATACGAAGGTGCACCAGACGTGGATGTTGATTTTGTGAAACTTTCTCTGATTGGACTATCGATATGTGTGATAGTCCTATCATATTTAGCACAGGAAAGTGGGCTTGATCATGTTGATGTGACAAGCTTGTTCAGCAGAGAAAACATATTATTTTTACAAACAATTGTTTCGATCATGATAAATTATTATTAGATTTTTATCTCCACCCTCCACTCTATCATGTGTTTACCAAACACCCCACCTCATAGCCTTTTATTGACTTTAACATGTTCACACACGTGAAGATTCAAGTTAGAATTGGTCTTCAGCAGGTTGATCCATGTCATAAGAGGTGAATATGCTTGTCGTAGGAGGCGACTAACAGGATTGGGCATTCAGGCTCGCTAACTTGGTTGATGCATGTCATCGTATCCCAATTGCATAAGTTGATGCTCATGATGTCAATCACTGGATTGTTAGGTCCCAACTTGATTATTTACAGACGGCCGTCATATAGCTGAAATATTGCTGAGTGCAGCGTTCAGCATGTTCAGCAACAAACAAACATGTACAGGTACCTAGAGGCGAAGAAAACATCTTTTGACGTGCTTTGTGTCTTTTGTCAAACATTTTGTACCTGTTCTTGTTCACAGAAATATGTAAGTTCTTATGCTGATAATCTTCACAACATACCTACAATTTGAGCATGGCGCATCCGTCCAGTGAGTTTAATGATGCGGAAGTTCTTCGGACATGTCTACAAATGCTAGGTGATGAAGGTTCCAAACAGGAAGTGAGGGTCGCCGTGGAGACGCTTCTCAAGTTGAGCAGGTGATTGTTATAAGGCTGGGACAAGTCCAAATTTACTACCCGGGTACCCACCCCCCTATTACCCGACCCTACCCGGGTACCCACTGTAGTCCTGGCAAAACATATTTAGATATATGTATTAAACACGTTGTGCATACACTAAAGTTGACTTAAAGTTACATCTTTATTCAACCATATGAAAAGTCAGAAGGAATGGGTGCATAGTCGGAAAGAAATGCGAACATTAGTGACTTGTAGTGTAACCATAGAATTCTCTATAATTTTTGTGATTAAACATCCCATTGCGGGTCATGTCAGAACGACCTTTCACGAACTTTCACCGAGATTGGACTAAACAATATATCACGTGACTAACCACGGGTCCGGGTATCCTGTGGGTGCCTGGGACCTACTCAGTACCCACCCGTATCTGGTACTAGAGTTACCCGTCCCAACCCTAGGTTGTTACATACCATGAAGAGTAACCCTGTCTCTTGAGAATAGGTTTTCAGTAACCCATGCTTGCCGTAAAAAGCGACTGTGCTTATTATAAGAGGTGACTAACGGGATCGGGTGGTTAGGCTCACTGACTTGGTTGATGAATGTCATCGTATCCCAATTGCATGGATCAATGCTCATGATCATGATGATGTCAATCACAGGATTGTCTGGTCCAGACACGATTATTTACAGACCGCCGTCATATAGCTTGAATATTGCTGAGTGCGGCGTTAAACAACAAACAAACAAACAAACAAAAAACTGTCTCTTGAGGGTCAATTACAGATTTGTGTTGGATGATTTCTTATCCAGGAATCTGAGCAACAACCCCGGAGATGAGAAGTACCGCAAGATTCGTAAGGAGAACAAGGCGATACATGACAAGCTACTTCGGTTTGACGGCGCCAAGGAGTTCCTGCTGGCCATGGGTTGGACAGAGGTGAGAACTTCCTGGATGATGCTTGAGAAATGTGGTTACCGTGTCTTCTTGTGTACATAGCACACTTATATAGTATAATGCGCACCCAACAATTTTGGGTACAAGTTTTGGGAAAAATTGCTATTTTGTATATAATACGCAATCAAACACTGCATCATTGTTCCCGCTCGCTTTTGAAACTAAAAATTACCATTTCCCCCTAATTTTTGTCAATCCCATACTTTCAACAAATATATAAACATATGAAAATTTCCTGCCTTAATTCTTTCAATATCATGTTCGGTTGCAATGATTTTATCTCTGAAGTAACTTAGATCTAGTCATCATTCACACAAAGTTCAGTCACAATTTACCCTTCTTTTTTTTTAATATTTCAAAACTATGTCACTACAGATATATAGTTAACATCAAAACAAAGCGAAATGTTATTTCCTTGCACTCAAAATGGACAACAGGAAACCCAGACAAGCTGACTTTGTTAAAAAAATATACTTTTTTGAATATTGCCAGTGTTTCGTTCAACAACAAATATTTATAAAGTACTTTATTTGCTGGTCCACAGGGACTGGCAGTCACATGAATTACATTTCCAATTACTTGGTTTGGCGACTGGTCAGGCTCACTGAATTGGTTGATGCATGTCATCGGATCCCAATTGTGTGGATCAATGCTCATGATGTCAGTCACTGGATTGTCTGGTCCAGAGTCGGTTCTTTCAGACCGCTGGAATATTGCTGAGTGCGGCGTTAAACAAAAAACAAAAAACTTGGTTTGGCTTGACGACTTTCCTTCTCTTTTAACTTACTTTGAAGCATCAATGAACATAGTTAACATATAGGGCGGTGAGAAAAAGAGACTCTTTTCAGTATGTTTAAAACCTCTTTGCTGGGGTACCTGTAACCATGGTGACCATCTAAGCTGAAATCCTTTGAGATGTCTGAAATACTGTTAAAAGTAACTTTCTCACTAGGAGATGATAGACATAGTTTGGTATCTTTGCCAAGAGATTTGTGTCTTTTCCTGACTGACGATATTGGGTAACTGTGCACGTCCATTAGCATAGTTCTCATGGTTATGGGTTGATGGGATGTTGAAGTATATTGTTACAGGTTGATGACTTGCTGATGTACCTGGAGGATCATGATCTCTCCATCACAACAAGTATCCTCGAGGAACACCTACAGTGAGTCATCTGACGCCAACCTTTCCGTATTTCTTCGATCATGTGTTGGCATAGACAGGATACAGTATCATAGCGATATGAATTTAGAATTTATTTCTTTTCTCTTGTTTGTTCTGAATGCATGAATATCACTTGAACAAATCTAATTGTTGCATTTTGTTTGTTTGCTTGTTTAAGGTTTTCTTATACATTATTTATATCATAGTTAATAGAAATGAGACTGCTTTAGTCTAGTATTGGTTCCAATTGTCCTGTGGTTAAAACTGGAAACAAAGTAAAATTATTTGGATTTCATCTTCCAATGACCATGGGACTCTGATGTTGGTAAGCTATAAGTGAACAGGAATGCATGGACCTGCACTGTGTTGAGCTTTCTAGAGATGATTTGTGTATCATGTTCTGTACTGATGGTGCTAGCTCCACCCCAGCTCGTGTATGAGCAGGGTGTTGAACACTGCTGCATTAGTACCCAACAATTTAAGAAACACAATTAAAAAAATATGTTGAAATATCAGCATGATCAGGTTATTGTCACTCCCTGTTTGAGATATACAGCTGATTTATGGACAATGAGGACAATTTGAGGTCTGTCTTTCTTGTCTACAACTGTACGTATTAGATTTTAGAAGACAAGCTTGTCCATGTGACCAAAACATATTCAAAACAAATCATTTTATTGACTTTAACATGTTCATACCCATGAAGATCCAGGTTAGAATTGGTCTTCAGCAACGCATGCTTGTCGTAAGAGGCAATTATACATGTCATAAGAGGCAACTAACGGGATCGGGTGGTCAGGCTCGCTGACTCGGTTTGAAGCATGTCATCATATCCAAGTTGCGTAGATCAATGCTCATGATGTCAGTCACTGGATTGTCTGGTCCAGACTTGATTATTTACAGACCACCATCATACAGCTGGAATATTGCTGAGTGTGGCGTTAAACAACCAACAAACTTTGGCATTTGATACAAGATCCAGGAATTGTATACTATACATGCTACAGATCAGGACTGGCATGAACAGTACATTGCAATGGCTACATTAGATTTTACAAACCATGGACTAGCATGTTCCCAGTGCTTCCTTTCCAGTTGTTGTCTGTGCTGTATTGTTGAAACACTTACATGAATACAGTGATATATATGCTGCATTGTTTCAGCACACTGCCACCACCCCCACAGAACACAGCAACAGCAGCGACAGCAGCGACCCCCGCCCCTCCCAGTGAGACCGCAGCATGGACACAGGCAGAGGTAGGGGACAATGTCTTACCAGCAGTCTCTTAGCCCTAATACATCCAAATGTCTCCTGGCTCGGAGAACTTTACCCCAACTTGATCCTCAGTCACTGAATTACTTTCCATATCAGTAAGAAACAACATGTCGCTTTTTCTCCCTTTTCACCGAGTGTTTTTGCATATGTTGAAAAATATGTTTTTGACTTCATATTTTATTATATGATATCTTTGTTGTTGCTATTGTTGTGAACAAAAAAAAGAAACTGAACTGAAAAAATTTGTTTCTTTGTTTGTTGTTTAACGCCACACTCAGCAATATTCCAGCTAGGTATATGGCGGCGGTTGGGCAGCCTAGTGGTTAAAGCGTTCATTCATCATGCCAAACACCAGGGTTCGATTCCCGACATGGGTACAATGTGTGAAGCTCATTTCTGGTGCCCCCCCCCCCCCCTCCTTGATGTTGCTGGAATATTGCTGTAGTAAGAACTTTAATAGCAGTAGCTTCAGCTATTGGTTATGGGACGGTGGGGTAGCCTGGCGGACAAAGTGTTCGCTCGCAACGACAAAGGCCCGGGTTTGATTCCCGACATGGGTACAATGTTTGAAGCCCATTGCTGGTGTCCGCCGCCGTGATATTGCTGGAATATTGCTTAAAGCGGCTTAAAACCATACTCACTCACTCACTGCACCCTTATGGAAAGAGGGGGTGGTCAAGGTATTACTGTTATCTCTACTGTCAATGATTTGTTCTCCCTCGTGTTTGCTGATCATGTCTCAGCAGTGTCCAACATCTGTTCACAATTGCAGAGAAAGATAACAGTACTGGAATTATTTTGTAAACATACTGGCATGAAAGTAAATTGTAATAAAACTAAGATGATTGTGTTTAGAAATGGTGGTCCCTTAAGGTTGTATGAAAAGTGGTTTTATAATTGTACACCTATAGAAACAGTATCTTTATATAAATACCTGGGACTTGTATCCCCCCTCAGTTAATCTGGAGCAAAGCTCAGACTTGTCAAGTATCCCAAGCAAATAAGGGATTATTTTCAGTTGTCCAGATCTGTTTGAGATATTTGATTGTATGATAGCACCTATTCTATGTTATGGTTCTGAAATATGGGGCGCCTCATATTGTGATCTATTGAATCTGTACATATTGAATTTTGTAAAACTAGTTTAAAGGTTGGTAATTCAACCTGTAATAATATGGTTCTAGGCGAATGTGGAAGAGTGCCTTTGCAGTTTGTATACTGACCCACAAAAGAAACATGACTTCATGAAAATACTTCATGAAAGTTTACCATTGAAATATCAATGTGTTTGGTTTGGTGTCTTTTTTTTACATTAGTCTTGTGTCCACGTTTAATGTTAACGGCCAATAGTGCCAGAAATAAGGATATAATGGGTCGCAAAAACGCACCTTAACAAACGACCATGGTACCAAGTCCCATATGCTGCCCATGAAAATGCACTTTTCTGATAAACAACACCTCAATATTGGGATCCAACATTCTTGTATCGATACTAGCACTATGCCAAGACTTATGAAGAATCAGAGAAATGTCCCTTTTTCACGCCAGAAACCTATGACTGTGAGTTTGAATCCTGGTTCGACTCGATTATGTTTCTCGGCTTGTCAGCACCATACCATGGGTGTGGAACAGTGTTTCTTTAAAGGTCCATACTCTAGTGTTCATACAGTCCTTCTTTCATGGTTGATACTCCAACGTTCATACAGTCCTTCTTTCATGGTTCATACTCCAACATTCATACAGTCCTCCTATCATGGTTCGTAGTCCAACATTCATACAGTCCCTCTTTCATGGTTGATACTCCAACGTTCATACAGTCCTTCTTTCATGGTTCATACTCCAACATTCATACAGTCCTTCTATCATGGTTCGTAGTCCAACATTCATACAGTCCCTCTTTCATGGTTGATACTCCAACGTTCATACAGTCCTTCTTTCATGGTTCATAGTCCAACATTCATACAGTCCTTCTTTCATGGTTCATACTCCAACGTTGTCCAATGAACACACACAAAATTCAAAGGAAATTGTCGTATAATCATTTCACAAGGCCTATACTCACGTTTGTTTGTACTCACATTGTTTTTCCCTGTCATAATTATGTTTTATGGATGTTGATGGTCTTTTTTTAAAAAGATAGATAGAAATTAGTTAAGCTCATAAATAATATCCCATCTGTGTATTATTACAGCTTAAAGAACGAGATGAAAAACTAGAAAAAGAGAAGAAAAGAAGAATGGAAGAACATCAGAGGATGAAAAAAGAAAGGGAAGCTATTAAGAAACAGGTAATATATATTAGATAGGTATAGACAGGCATAACCAGAACATTGTTGCTCTCAAAGCTTCATTTTTATACCAAATTGTATGACACAACACTAAACATAGTTGCCAATAAAATTACACTCACATCCAAGAGGATGTTACTAATAGGAGAGGTGGAGATGGCTGTCACTTCCAACGTGACGCTTTTTCAGCAAATGGGTCCTGGTAATCAAGCATAAAATACTGGACAAGCAATGATAAAAGCTGGCAAATTCAGAAGGGATTTCTGTGGGTGACTTTAGATCATAATACATGCGATACTACAATTTTCCTGTTTATATATATTTATGGATATGCACAATGACTATAAATCTGAATCCTCTTACAGATTAACGAAGACAGAAAAGATACCAAGACAAGGGAAGTTAAAGAATCGGTAAGTAAAGTTGTGCAGTCCATGTTGTTCATACCTGATCCATTGTTAGAGTGTTGAACTGGTGTTGGCAGTTATGGAAAGAAAATGTTCATTTATTCATCCGTTTTATCTTCATATTCTGTGGCAAATAATTGACAGTAATTAATCAATCAAAGAATGTAGACACATACATATGTACTATACAATATCATCGAAAATAATTGTTCTCTCGGTATCTGTCTCTCACAATATTGTCATGTTTTTCTTCATAGCGTGCAAGGCAGCTTAATTTTGGTGCCAATGTGAAGAAATTTGAAAACAAGGTAAGATTAAAAAATGAATGAAAAACATATTGATGTTTTGTTACAATGTTATTGACAAATATTGATGCATTTGATACCAACAGACAAGGAAGTGGCAGATTTAGCTAATACATATGACATTAGTTCAAGGCCTGAGTGTAGTAAAATTCTGTTCCACCTACTTAACACGCCATCCTCTATAACTTGCATTTCGGTAAACCTGCACTAACCATGTGCGAGGTTTTTGCAATCTTAAATTACCTGCCCTTGATTTTCATTAACTTTTTACCGACCAATCAAACTTCAAAATAAGGAATATGAACATGGATAAGGGCGGTAACTGACATTGATACGGGAAACCAAAGCCACCGTCAATTTTATTGGACATGAGGACCATCGTAACATCTCCAAGATTTTCTAGGGCTTTCCTTTGCACGTGGCTCATTTTTTCAATGTTGGATATCTCACAAACTCTATCGTAATCAAAGGGTCAGGCTGTCATGGTGTTCATATCGCCAACCCAACTTGGAGCCTGGTTTGTAACTCACATTCTGATTGGTACGTTGGACCTAGTACTGTAGCCAGTCAAATTGGCTAACAGACATCATGAAAATCCGGGTTAGAATTGGTCTTCAGCAACCCATGCTTGTTGTAAGAGGCAACTAACGGAATCGGGTGGTCAGCTAACTGACTGGCTGATGCATGTCATCGTATCCCAGTTGCGTATCAGTTGTGTAGATCCATGCACAATTGTGTGGTCCAGACTTGATAACTTTACAGACCGTGCAGAGTGGTTATGTTTATGTTTATGTTATGTTGACAGGGAGGTGGATGAGGGTAATCTGACTTCTGCAGCTGACTGCCAACACTCGTCCCCAGTGTCATCTTGTCAAACTCAAAACATGACTTTTAAATCTTAGCAAAGCAGCAACATTGTTCGCTTCAGTTATCCAGTGCATTATATGTCCATTCTGTTGAGATAAATACCCTCAATCAATTTGCCAAAGAAAGTGATGTCTCGAATATTCCAGCTGAGCACGGAATGTCTCTCACTGTAAGTAATTTGATTGGTCAGTTCTTTTGAGTGTCATGTCTCTTCTAACAATACCCAAAGAATATTTGTCTAATAAGTAGATTAACAGTACCTTGTTAAAGGGAGATAACCCACTGTATTAAGAACAGAAATGTTATAATACCTACTATCAGAGAATTACTTTTTTTCATTTATTTCTTTTTTTCAAGTCAGTTGTTTATCTTTTAAATTTGAGACAGTTATTGATGGATGGCCCCCAGTTCTATGCTAATGACGACACTTGTCACAAGCCAAGCTGATTGGCCGACAGTTGTCTGATCCTCGGAACTGGGGATTTGGGGAAAATGTGTGTATGGTCAGTTATGGGAGTCTTAAGTTTTCATTTATTATTGTATATATGCAATCAGGGTCATTTGTATGGTGTTCCATTGTTGGTGTGAAGTAGACATGTAGGTTGTTGCTGTATAGTCACACTGAAGGGATGTGAATGTGTCAGTAGACTGACACATACAGCACAATGCTACATACACTTGGGTTACACATACAGCAAAATGCTACATACACGTGGGTTACAAATACAGCACAATGCTCCATACACTTGGGTTACACATACAGCAAAATGCTACATACACTTGGGTTACAAATACAGCACAATGCTCCATACACTTGGGTTACACATACAGCACAATGCTACATACACTTGGGTTACACATACAGCAAAATGCTACATACACTTGGGTTACACATGCAGCACAATGCTACATACACTTGGGTTACACATGCAGCACAATGCTACATACACTTGGGTTACACATACAGCACAATGCTCCATACACTTGGGTTACACATACAGCACAATGCTACATACACTTGGGTTACACATACAGCACAATGCTACATACACTTGGGTTACACATGCAGCACAATGCTACATACACTTGGGTTACACATACAGCACAATGCTACATACACTTGGGTTACACATACAGCACAATGCTCCATACACTTGGGTTACACATACAGCAAAATGCTACATACACTTGGGTTACACATACAGCACAATGCTACATACACTTGGGTTACACATACAGCAAAATGCTACATACACTTGGGTTACACATACAGCACAATGCTCCATACACTTGGGTTACACATACAGCACAATGCTACATACACTTGGGTTACACATACAGCAAAATGCTACATACACTTGGGTTACACATACAGCACAATGCTACATACACTTGGGTTACACATACAGCACAATGCTACATACACTTGGGTTACACATGCAGCACAATGCTCCATACACTTGGGTTACACATACAGCACAATGCTACATACACTTGGGTTACACATACAGCACAATGCTACATACACTTGGGTTACACATACAGCACAATGCTACATACACTTGGGTTACACATGCAGCACAATGCTCCATACACTTGGGTTACACATACAGCACAATGCTCCATACACTTGGGTTACACATACAGCACAATGCTCCATACACTTGGGTTACACATACAGCAAAATGCTACATACACTTGGGTTACACATGCAGCACAATGCTCCATACACTTGGGTTACACATACAGCACAATGCTCCATACACTTGGGTTACACATACAGCACAATGCTACATACACTTGGGTTACACATACAGCACAATGCTCCATACACTTGGGTTACACATACAGCTCTAATGTTGAGTGATTGTAGAGAGATTTAATTGTCACAATTATATAGTTTAACTTTTTGCCAAAATGACCCCCAAAAATTAATTTTGTTACTCCTGATTAAAGGAGATCTGTATGTACTTGAAGGTGTGTTGTGTGAATGCATTGTATTACAGACGAGATTCTCATTTGTGTATGACATTGTTCACTTGTTTTATGGAGTTGCTACATGATCATGTTAGGGAAATTCCTTTTTAATGCATTTCAACAATTACACAGAGTACAAGGGGTGTTTGTGACACATGTTTTAACTCAGATCTATTACTGTCGCAAATTTTGGATGTTGTTTCTGATGAGTTTTTTAATAAACATGGCATTGTATGAACATCTAAGGAACTGAATTCATTTGGGTTTTTTATCATCAAACAAATAAACAACACTTTTAAAGATATTCCTGGTTTCTTTTATTATTGTGTGGAATTAGACAGACTGGCACACACTGAGGTGGCAGACACACCCACTGAGGTGGCACACACACACACGGGCACCCATCTGCAATTTTACTTAGGTGCAATCATCTTTAAGCCATTTCATCTGACCTCATAATATCAATCACTGGTTTGTCTGGACTAGATTCAATTACTTACAGGCAGTGGACCTGTGAAGATCCGGGTTAGAATAGGTCTCCAGCAACCCATGATTGCCATAAATGGCGACTATGCTTGTTGTAAGAGGCGACAAACGGGATTGGGTAGTTAGGCTCGCTGATTTGGTCGATGCATGTCATCATATCCAAATTGCGTAGATTGATGCTCATGGTGTCAATCACTGAATTGTTTGGTCCAGATTGGATTATTTACAGACCGCCTTCATATAGCTGGAATATTGCTGAGTGCGTCGTGAAGCAACAAACAAACAATACGTGCAGTGGTACTGGAGCTAGAATTTTGGACTGCAGTGTAAAACAACATGGAAGATGTTCTTCCCATTTATAACACATTTTAATTCAATGTGACCACACAATCTGTTTGTAGGTGTTCTGGTATTGGTTCTTTGAAATGCCTGTGCTTTAAGTCTTAAAGCAAATTCCTCAAAATGTTACTGATGTATTGTTATACTTCTATTAACAAGCTTTGGAAACTATGATCGGTCAAATTATTAACTTGCTTATCTAAGGGTTGTCACTGGTTATGCGTAATTGCAAATATGGCACTGGCTTGAAAATAGAAACCGTGCTACGTTGTCCGAGATATTGTTTTAATTTTTTTTTGCCATTTTGCCACTTATCGCCCTTATCGGGCGGTCACGAAGCTTCGCAGGGTTATTTGATCGTGACTTTGTCTGGATTGTTTTGATTTCAACTGGAAGGTTCTCTTTGAAATTAGGTACGAATGTGACACTTTAAGGTTACAGTAAACTACGGTTATAACGAACACGCTTATAACGAACTGACGGATATAACGAACTTACTTTTTGGTCCCGACTACTTGCTGTAGTCATGCTGTATATGTTCTTATAACGAACTACGGTTATAACGAACTAAAATGAGTAGTCCCTTTGAGTTCGTTATAACCGTAGTTTAGTGTATGTCGGTTGGAGTTCTTGCCATTTGTATCGCCATAGGACATAATCTGCTGGAATTGTATAAGTTTCCGTCAATGATAGAGTAAAAGATAGCTACGCGATAAATCCCAAAGCGGGAGAGATATGACAATCGGTATAGGGAGAAAAGCTACAGGTAATCGAAGTGAGGATTGTGAAAATATGCGGTAAATACACACATGTGCTTAAAATTGACTTGTCCGACATCGCCGAGGTCGGATACTATTGAGGGAGTCATCCTTATTTAAATGCGGGTAAATATTTTTAAAAACGTGTATAATCTATCGTCATCCTTAAAGAGGCTTACATAATGTTGATATCTCATGTAAGAAATAAACGACTCGTGGTCGTTGTTTATCGTACGATAAAACACTGCAGGGAGAATAAACAATGAGAGGCGCAGCAGCGTTTTATTTTACGATAAACAACGACCACAAGTCGTTTATTTCTTAAATAATGTACACGGTTTTAAAAAGCTAGGTTAATAAGTATGTAAGCGTCAATCCTCATATTTAATCGAATACTATAACCGGCCTATAGGTCTGCGACTTTTCTTGAGTTGGTACAGAATGACATTGGATGGCGAGCTTGTATGTATCTGACAACAAACCTGACACACACGTATCTTAATATGCAGGGGATCTACATATATTGCTTTTTAATGGAGGGATGTCCTTATTTCATTGAATTTGTAGCCTGTGCCTCATCATAAAAATATAGGGGGCACGGGTGGCCCAGTCGTCTAAGGCGCTGCGATTCGCTGTGCAGAGTTGCGTCCCTTGGGCACGCTAGAAACCTATGATTGTGGGTTCGAATCCCGATCGGTTCGCCCCGATAATGTTTCTAGGTTTGTCAGCACCATACCCGTGCTCGTGGGTTTCACCGAAATGGTAAACGTCTGAGACCTGCTTCACTTCGGGCTTTCCTCCCACATTAAGCTGACACGCCATGATATAACTGGAATACTGTTGAAAGCGGCGTTAAACCCAACTCACTCACTCACTCACTCATAAGAATATAACGCGTGTTGTTTCAATATGTTCTTCTAAATCACAATTAGCAGCATGCAATAGTCTTTCCCGATTCACTTATAAATATTAAACGTCATCGCCAGAGAATAACCAGTCTCGATTATCTCACCCCTGTACAACTGAGGGTCGTATTCAAAGAAAGTATGTGCATGTATTTAGTCCTGTTGACTATGAGACATAGCCAAAGAAGCGTCCGGGGCGGTCGGGTAGCCTAGTGGTTAAAGCGTTCGCTCGTCACGCCGACGACCCGGGTTCGATTCCCGACATGGGTACAATGTGTGAAGCCCATTTCCGGTGTCCCCCGCCGTGATATTGCTTGAATATTGCTCAAAGCGGCGTAAAACTATACTCTCACTCACTCACGAAGCGTCCATTAGTCATCTTATATGATTTCTACCTTTATATTGTTAGTGGGCTCTGCCCAACCCCATCATCAAACCATCTACTTTGTTTATATTGCTATACAATAGGTCAACATTAACACAAAGGGCTAAACGTGTCAGTTCAAATAAGTACGTTTCTATAATCCTTGCTTGACTTTTGCGTGCTGCTGTATTTATCAAAGCAAAGTACAGTAAACTACGGTTATAACGAACACGCTTATAACGAACTGACGGATATAACGAACTTACTATTTGGTCCCGACTACTTGCTGTAGTCATGCTGTATATGTTCTTATAACGAACTACGGTTATAACGAACTAAAATTAGTAGTCCCTTTGAGTTCGTTATAACCGTAGTTTACTGTAATGCAGTATTCAGATAATCAAGTATGTAATAGCCTAAAGGTGTTTTGATAGACCGATATGAAGATATAGAGATAGATGGTATATCACAAAGATCGACATTTCTCTTCTATTTCTTGATTTCATTGCTCTGTGAATAAATTTCTCAAGTCTCTTCTACGACAGTAGATTTATGTCCGCGAACCTCTAATAGGTACGCGAAAGGGAGGGGGTAACTGATGCGAGGTGAGTTAACGTTGGAATGGGTTTAACGTCGCGTCCAAGAGCGTTGCGCTTATATATATATATATATGTGTGTGTGTGTGTGTGTGTGTCTGTGGCTGCTTGTACTAGTCCGGACTGATGCCGATTTATAGTGCTAGCTCACTGAGATACCATGCCGCAGTTTAACATGAATACCCCACTCAGACACAGTGTACTGACTCCGAACCGACCAGACCCATCCTCCCGAGGCAAGAGAGTTAACTGACTTTAAAAGTCCAGTTTCCACCCTTGCCGAACTAGGCTGGAATTACTGTGCACGATCGTAACGCCGCGACCAGTGGCTATTACCAGTTATGTCCCTTGTAAGCCTCTCCTATGGACCAATCAGATTCCACGTCTCTCATCACTTGCGTTTGCTTCACACAAAATGGTGGCGCCGAGTCAGGACGATCTGATCGATAATCAAGACCTATATTGTGATAAAACGGGTCTTACATCGCGAAATGCATCAAATCACGTGAGCAACTTGAAAAGATTTGGAAAATATCTGCTGACAAAGAGTTGAGATTGTGGAATGTTGAGCTCCTGACGTGTGTTACACAAACAAAGACCTAAACTATTATTACTATCATTATAATACAAAATCGCCAAATGATGAATGTATTTGGTATTTCTAAATGAAATGTATTTTTACCAACATGGTTATTCTTTACAAACAGTGCTATGCGGAAATTCGGATTTGAGTAAGAAAGAGCAAATGCTAATATTAGATTCTATTAAAAAATGGCAGATTTTCAGTTAAATGATTGTTTAAAATAAACTGCAAATAGATTTATTATATATACACATCTAGCTTGGCATGTACAATATATTTGTTACATCTAACCTTCATTTATGTATTCATTGTAATATGTCCTATGTGTAATGGAGCGGTATTAACATAAGCGCTTCGTTCGCTTGTTTACCAATCCATTTTCACACTTTTGTGAAAATAAGTATGCTTAAACCATTTGGTATCTCTACACTTATAATTTTCTCTGTAGCCGTAAAGGCCAACAAAGGCTTGAAGGTATAGTTGTTATAGCCACCTTTACTGTTGCTAGTTCCACCAAACCGTCCACCTTTGTCATTCATCGAAGATTTACGCCAGCGCGTGAGAACAACCAGTATCGATTATCCGCTGATAGAGATTCCGATGGGCGCAAAAGGCAGATCAGCAATGAAAAATATATGAATGGATCAATGAAATTAGAATTTGTTTGTTGCCTTTGCGCAACACGGCAGTATTTCTGCCATGCGACCGCGGTCTGTATACAAACCAGACATGCAACCTAATGACAGACAATCCAGTGACACTACAGCCCCTTTACTGACTTTGTTGAAACTGAAAAACTAAAGATTAATTTTTAAGTACGTATGTGCAAATAAATGCAAATGTGTCTGGCTCGCAACATGGGTACATAGCCACAGTTCTCTTTCATTCCATGAGTAGGGCGGTCGGGTAGCTTAGTG